AAAAAAAAAACAAAATTCAGTGATTAATAAATGGAATTCTTGTACATGAGATTCATTTTTTGTTTATCGTCATTTAAGCAACGGTTTGGTGTGTTTGGAACGTAACTGTAGAAGTCACTCGATGTCAAATGGAAAGATTCACAGTCCGTTTTGTGACAGTCTTTGTTTTCATTTCAAAATAAAAAAAAACATTTTCATCGTTTTAATCAGGACACAGCGTTATATAGTATAAGAAGTTATTCATTTGAATTGTGATATGAGTGTGTTCTCATTTTTTGTTTGTAACAAATTGTGCTTTGCTTGTAAAAGGAATTCTTGAGAATTATATGTGAGTGTTTATATTAGAGTATGAAACAATTTGTTTGTCGTCATTTTTGGCTAACATTTGTTCCAATGATTTTGTTTGTTCGATGTTAAACGGATAAATTCACTGTTGGTTTTGAGATTGTCTCTGTTGTTATTTCAAAATAAGAAAGCATTCATAAAATTGACGGTGAATATTCCAACAAAATTTTCATCTGTGGAATATTGGAAAACATTTCATCATTTGAGTCAGAATACAGAGTGACATCGTTGAGGTAAGAAGTGATTAATTTGAATTGTGATATAAGTTGATTGTCATTTAAATTGTGATCTCATTTTATTCGTAATCTATGCTATTTTTGTTGCATTTTTTTTCTAAATTTGTGTCTATTTTTTATTTTCGAATAATTTATTCAGTTTTTTGAGAATGAACAGAAAAAGACATGGATGACGACGAGCTCGATGATAATCAACCAGAAGAAAGCAAATACGTTGTAATAAAATGTGGACTTCAAACAATTCTGCGACAACAACATGAACGGATTGAAAGAGTTGGAGAAGCTGTGACCAAAATGCTATTCGAGCGCAGTGTTCAAATGACAGAAGTGGCAGCATTGGCATCACTTTTTATTCTTTTTATTTTGAATGAAGCACTTGATAATGACGATCGTGCATTTTTTTTGCAACCACATCCAAGTCTGATCATTGCCGATTGTTTCAGAGCGGTATTAAACCAACACGTTAACAATATTAATAGTCAATATCGGATTTTGCCCGAGTTTCGTTTCATGGTAGAAAGAAACAGTGAAGAACAGTTCCGATGGCCAGGTGATGAAAAGTTGGGAAATGGTTTGAGATATTTTTATAAACAATATATCACAAACATTCAAACCAATACCAACACATGGTGTGAAAAACGACTTGAGAATTTTTTTCGAATGCGTTGTTGGTATCGCAATCGATTCAACAATGGCTCAAGATTTGATAGCATCGACATCAGAAATGCCAAAGAGTTTTCATATCGATTTAAGAATTTAACAAATGGTGATAATGGTAATAATGTGGATCCACAACGCGTTGAAAAATTCAATATTTTAATGAGAGATTTGACTGAAATTGAATGGTCGGGAACAGTGAGTATGAAATTTTTCGCAAAATATCGTTGGTTTGAATCACTGTGGTTGTTCGGTCAAATGCAACGGCAAATAGAAGTGTATCACAGTCATGCCGAACAATGGAATACCATTCATGAAATGTTTCGTAACAATCCGAACTTTCAAGAGCCAACAATCAATCGACCACCAAAAATAAGCAGTTTTGCTCTTATACCATTATGCGACTACCATTTGAAAAACGTGCGATTGGACATTAAGGACTTGTATTATAAAATTGTAAACGAGCTTGATTTGGTGCCTTCTTTTCTCAATACGCGGACCAACCGGATGAATAAGAGAAATTTAAAGTACTACACCCAAACTGATCGATCAGGTCTATGGAATATGTTGTTCGATGTCGGTAAAATAAATAAATTGGGCAAATCGAAACCATGCCATCATCAGATTTTGACCGATAGTGTTTCAATATCCATAATGTACAAGAAACCACAGCGACAACAACGACCACAGCAAACAACCCAAGCGAATCGGGGGCCGGAAAAACTCATTGGCAAGAAATACATCATTGGAATCGATCCGAATGAAAAATCGTGGTTAACTGTAGTGCGTCGCAACATTCAAAAAACACCTGATGAGCCGGCTGTTGAGGTAAGATATTTTGAAATGTAATTTGAAATGGTTTTGAATAGAAACTCATAGTTTTTTGTATCATTTTGCATTTTGAAGGAAAACATTATAATACCAAACCAGCGTTTTCATTGGGAAACTCAGCAGAAAAAACGAGACAAAGAAGCGAAAAAGTTGGCTGGATGGTTTGATATCGAAGAGAAGGAACATCTCAAAACATACCCATATCGTCCACCATCACCACGTAATTCAACATGGAAATCATACACGTACCATTGCCAGTTTCATTGTTAAGACCGCCGGACTAAAACAACAATGTCAACTAACAAACATCATCAATTAATCATACATTCAAAAAATTACATAAAATAAAATATTTTAACTATTATAGTTAGCTTAGCTAGACATGAACAGACTATATAAAGTCTTGTGGTCTAGTTGTACAATAGTACAACATTGTACGGAGGGGGAGTACCCGTAGGTGAGTAAAGTTTTTAATTTAAAAAAAGTATTTTATACCCAGTTCAACTGATACTAATGGTTATAGTAGCATAGATATGCCAAGCATAGCCGCAAACGCAACCGACGCATCGCCGTTCACTCTATATGAACAATACACATGTTCGTTTATGCAGACGACCGTGCGCATACAATATAGCTCGAATCGAATGGCGACGGGTGCGTTGCGGCTTACGTCTCCGCTATGCTTAGCATAGCTATCAGGCATAGAAATATGCGCGAACCGGTCACTGATGTTCCACCATGCCAAACCTATGGAAATGACTGAAACTACACACGAATCTAACCCCGAAAACGACCGTCAATATGTACTTCATAATGGATGCATTTGCCCTATCAATTGTTTGCTGGGTAATTCTAGTTAAAAGATATACTTAATAGAATAATTCTTAATGATAATGGTGATATTTACTTACTAACTTTTGGTTCGGAATTTATTATGTAATGTGATACTTTTGATTCATTCGGAAAAGAGGAAAAAAATTATAACTGTATATATTGATGTGTGATATAGGCGATATTGCCCGATTTGTTTTTGTTATAAAATAATAATTTCCCATCTAATTCGAAGAATCCATTAGATTTATTTTTAAACCAGTTAAAGGCAGGTTGCCTATGAAATTCATTGTTTACATTGCAGCAAATACTGCCATTTATTAAAAATTGTTTACCAAAATTATAGATTTCTTTAAAAAGGCATGTGAATCAAATCTTTGCCAAAATCATATTTTTGGATAAACTATTTATTGGTTTATGGCACAAAAGCGTCCGTCTTGCAATCGGTAGAAAAAACCTGAGCAACGAGAAACTATAGATTTTACGGAAAAGTAGACCTAGTATGCCTCCCGTTGAAATCCAATAATCCACAGTTCTTGTATGTCATTGATTTTATAAATAAACCAACTGCAACACAGGGTCAAAGCGTACTCTACTGTCGGCAATATTTGAAAATGTCTTTCATTTAGAACAATTTTGAGCTCAGTATAATAGTCAGCATAGTTCCCATTTTTTGTCGTTTGACCGCTTATAGGGGTCGTTGCGGTGTGACAATCAATGACATTCAAGAGGGACGAGTGTGTTCCCACGAATTCGAAACATTTCAATTTTTATCATTATTTGTCAATAAATTCACTTCCAAATCTTGAGAAAATATATTCATTTCTTTTCTCCGAACAACCAAACGTGAGGACGTTTCGTTCGGTATTCGATCACACAAACGAACGAACGCAGCGAAGATTTAAATTATTACGAACGACCGACCGACCGACCATTAATAACTTCAACGAACGAACGAACGACCACAAAAAAGTATTGTTTCCACTTACGAACGAACGACCGACTGTTCGTGCCCAGCTCTGATGGGGAGTACCACTGATATGAATTGAAGTTTCTTCAAACTTGTTGGGATTTGGTATTTTTATGAGAAAATAAGATTCACAAATTTTCTTTTAAAAAAGTCTAATGAAATTCAAACCAACAAAATGCAACAAATCAATATTTATTGTTACTTAATCACCGTGAAAACTTGTGAATATCATTTTCGTATCAAAATAAATAATCTCACAAAGTTCAAAGAAATTTCAATCAAAAATCTCACTGAGTTCCGCCACACGGAATGATCCATGTGACGGCATACTTTCACACGCAACTTCGTTCTGAGTGTACCGAGTACTTGCTACATGCTGATAGAATTTGTTGTTTGTGTGTATATCGGACTTGTGTCGCAGTCCAAATATAAGCAGCCACATGTTATTACATGTAGCAAGTACTCGGTACACTCAGAACGAAGTTACGTGTGAAAGTATGCCGTCACATGGATCATTCCGTGTGGCAGAACTCAGTGAGATATACGAAATTTCAATCAACATTTTCGATTTTTGAGTGGAAATGTGACTCTAATTTTGAATTTTTGACTCATGGGAGCGACGTGAAAAAACTTGACATCAGCGCCAGTCCCTCATAACTAAAAATGGCACAAATTCGCAATAGATGGCGCTTATAAATCGACAAACACGCTTACATTTTATTAGAAGAAAAATGAAAAATATTGAAATATTTTTAAATTATTTAAATTTAATTGATGTGATTCTAGTGCTTCTTTTGTTTTCAATGGTTTTTTAATGAATTATAGAAAATATCAAATGTGATATTTGTTGTTTCGATATGTCACTATACGATACTAGGGGAATTTATCTGTTCGCGAATATATATTATTCGATGGTACATATACTATGCATATTTTACGAATAATGCATTGAATGTACGTATTTTGCGAATATTCGCAGTGAATATACGCAAAATATACGCAATATTCACAGTGTTTTGATTGAGATAAAAACCCCTAGATACGATATACATGATGTGCACTATAGTCAACACCGTTGCGTGTGTATCTTGTCGACAGTCAGTATAGCATAATGAAATATCATATATGATAAAATAAATTGAGTGCTTTAAAATATTTTATAAAATTATAATTATAACTAATTTCTTCTTGAAAACTTCTGTGCATTTTGAAAATAAACCAATACAACATTTTTTGACATTTCGAAACAACAAATATCACATTTGATATTTTCTATAGTACTTTAAAACCATTATAATCAGAGAAGCACTAGAAGGCACTCCATTTAAATTTATTTAAATTAAATATTTTGAAAATATTTCAATATTTTTCATTTTTCTTCTAAAAAAAGGAAAGTGTGTTTGTCGATTTATAAGCGCCATCTATTGCGAATTTGTACCATTTTTAGTTAAGAGGGACTGGCTCTGATGTCAGATTTTTAATCGTACGTTTCACGTCGCTCCCCTGTGTAGAGTATACATTAGGATACAATGTAGAGTAAACATCTCACAGCAAACCGTTGTAGCATTGCACAACAACGGTAACTAGATTTAAATTTAAAAAGTTCATCAAAATGTTTAAGAACAAACACACAGTGTGTGTCACACACTTAGCGTATGTTGTTATGATTATGTAAGAAGTATTGTATGAACACTTTTCCGTTGACGGCAATACGTGAAAGTACTGAAATGTATTTGAAGTCACCACCTTGCCCGTTCAACGTGAAACTCTTCAATTGACTATTTTCTTTTTCTTCAATTTTGATAGCGGAAAATAATTTTTTTATAAAATTTTCTTTACCAAAATGTTCTACTAAGTGTAAGGAATAAAACAAGCTATGTTGATTTAAAATCGGTGATTATCGGATCAGCCTAGTATACATTTCAACGTTAATTAAATTTTTTTGAAAAAAATAATTTGGGAATCCTAAAATAATTTGTTGGGTTATATTTTGTGTGTATTCTTAGAATAATGTCTGCATTAGTAAGAAATCCGTATGATGTGTTTGATGGAAAGAATATAAATAAATGTTCCGTTGTTGATTAATAAAGAAATTGAACATTTTTTCAATAAAGACTTTCTCAGCGTATCAATTTAAAAAAAACATCAATTTGTGATCAGTATTGACCAGTGGCGACATTGTGATGATGACAGTTCACAGTTCAGTTGTGTGACACATTCAATTTCACAATCGAATCAAAAAAATGTCAGAATATGAAAATGGAATAGTTGTTATTTGTGAATTTTGCCGTCCCATTTTTATTTGATTCTTTTTTTTTTGTTTTTAAATAACAGAAAATTTGCAAAATGACGACTGCGAAATTCACCGCTCAACCAAAAACAAAATCAGTTTTGCTTACATCGATATGTTATTAACATATTTCAATAATTTTTTAATAAGATAAATCTTATTGATTCCCGGAAAATATTTAATGAATTAATAAGGTAAATCTTATTAAAGCGAACATCATTATGTTATTAATATATTATCATTTATTTCTTACCATCAACCCAAAAGTAAAATAAAAAGTGAAGGAGAAGTTTTCATACATTGACGTGTACTTGAAAAAAATTGGCTGATAGCAAATTCATTTATAGGAAGGTGTTTGGTATTTCTGGTTAAAAAAATGTTTCTGGAAATTCCACACTGAATTCATGTATGAAAACTTCTTGGGTATTTCATAGTAAAAATACTTCACTTTTTGGTTCATTGAAAAAAGGTAACTTTTTCACGATATTTTTGGAAAAATGATAATATATTAATAACATAATGATGTTCGCGTTAATAATTAAAAAATTATTGAAATATGTTATATTAGCGGTCAACATATTTATGTTTGAAAATATGTTATTAATAAAATATAGGGCATCAAGCTGTAAAATGCTGTGTATTTCATCCTTTTCACACAAGTTATTTCAAGGAAATTTCGTAACATTTTGGTTACATCGTCATGCCGAGTGTTCTTCGGACATCAGTTGTGTCGACGTTTACATCACTATTAAAAGGCTTGTATAAAATCATTAACTAATACAATTGTTTCCTTTTCAGCTACTAGATTGAGCATTGCTTATTTATGGTATTTATGTGCCAATTAAATTGAAATAATTGCAGCGATGCCAAATAAATGGGCAAACGATTCAATTCCATCATCAAATCGTGACCAATAGTGTTTCTGTATCGGTACTGTACACTTGTACAGTGTACACCAAAGCAAAATAAAAAAGGGAACAACCTTGTAGTCATGAAATATGTTATTGTCATCGATCCGAATAAAAAAACGTGGCTGTAACGCGGCAGAAAAGAAAATAAAAAGAGGCGAAAAATTTGGCTGAATGGTTTATTATATAAAAAAGAGCAGAGTTTGCGAAATGTCTGAATCTATATTTCCAATAGAATTTTATAAATAAAGGATCGAGTACTATCTGTCAAAATATTTCCCCCTATGCCAAGCGAAATTAATTCGATATACGGCGCTGATGTAAATGTCACTCTGTCATTTCACAATAATACTTTTTTGGCTTGACAATATATAAGCTCTTCATTTAAAATGCATACACATTCATAATTATTGAATCGTTGAAAAAGAAACATGTCATAAAATATTTTTCTAACATTTTTCATTAAAAAATTTATTAAAATTTTTTTTTTATAAAAAAATTAATTTGTTTATAAATTACAATAATTTCAACAAAAAATGTTTCATCGATTAAATAAGAATCCAATGTAAATAGTAATGACAATGCGACACCTACCGTAAAAATGCAAAAAGAAACTTAGTTGGTATCCATTGTAGCATTTTTGTCCACCATGACAGCATCTTCGTTTTACTTGACCAATCACAGAGAAGCAAAACGAAGATGCTGTTATGGCGGACCAAAATGTTACAATTCCAAATAAGTTTCCTTTTCTATTTTAACGGTAGGTGTCGCATTGGTATTACTTTTTACATTAGATTCTTGTTCAATCTATGAAAAAAAAATTGAAATTATTGTTATTTTTAAACAAATAAATTTAAAATAAACGTAAGAAGAATATTTTATGATATGTTTCTTTTTTTTACTCGACCGTTCAAAAATTATGCATGTTGAATGAAGAGCTTATATATTGTCAAGCCAAAAAATGTATCATTGTGGAATGACATAGAGTGACATTTAAATCAGCGCCGCATATCGGATTTATTTCGCTTAGCAAAGGGCGAAACGTCGTACTCGCTCCTTTATTAAATATATTTGTATGTATAGGTGAGCCGAATGCGAACGAAGTGTGTGGACAGCGGCGACGAATTATATGTGAAAGAGGCGCACACAGTGAAGTGATCGTTATTTCTCATATTCGCTGCATGAAATCCGACAGAAGCATAGCCGCTTGTTTTTGTGAGAGTAGAAAGAACGAATATGAGTATGAATGAGTTGCGATAGCGTATTGTGTGCCATCTGTATTGCCGTTTCTTCACTCTCATATTCGCTATTTCTGCTCACGCATATGTAAACCGCTATGATTCAGCCGAATTCTACTGCGTATAAAAGAAATAGCGAGTACGTCACTGTGCGTTCTCGGTTCTCATACAATTCGTAGCCGCTGTCCACACACTTCGTTCGCATACGGCTCACCCATACATATAAACACATATTTTGAGAATAAATAATGAATTCACAAATTTCGCAAACACTGAAAAAGAGTCATCTGAAATCATACCCACTGCGTCCATCATCACCACGTTATTCAATATGGTAATCGTACATTGAGTACCGCATCAAAATACTAAAAAAGGTATGGTAGCAATTGCAACGCGTGAATATTTACGTCTGGATTTAGATCATCACAGTCTGTCGACCAAAGTAAATGATGAGATATACATAATATATGATAAAATAAATTGAGTGCTTAACATATTTTATAAAATTATAAATCAAACAAATTTCTTCCAAAAAAAATTCTGTGCATTTTGACAATCAATCATAGCTGTCCACGAACACTAACCATCGATTCGTTCGTTCGTTTTCAATGTATATTTTGTTCGTTCGTTCGTTCGTAGAAAATGAATTTTTACGTTCTTGATCTTATACATATGTGCATAAACACATATATTTACGTATACGTCCTTGATCATTTGCAACAGCAGATTGCACTTGGTATATCAAAGTACATAAAACTTTACTACTTTTCCTTTGAACGATGTTACATGCGATGAAATGCAAGACTCAATTTTTTTGAAGAAACTTTATTACAATAACATGAAGTTATAGAATTATGAACTGATTAATTTGAAGGGAATATTTAATTAATTTAGATACGTTCTGTGACATAAACTTTTGCTGTGGCTGGAGCAAAAGAACGACGTATTGCGAAAGATACAAGTATAGCCAATGCAATAAGCACGCATCCGAGAGAATTGATGACAACGCCCTCCTCTGTAAACTTCGAATAATTTTCACCTAACGTCCAAATTGCTTTTTGAGTTAATCCACTTAAACAGCTGGCAATAGCCAACAAAAACGTTGCTAAACCCAAACTGGCGTGGACTGGAATTAAGGCACCGCGGCAACCATAAGTCATTTTATTGCAACATAAACACACCAGGAATCTATTAAAAATTATATGACAATTTTTTTAATATCTGAAAAATTGTATTTACATATACATGTACTATTCACTTACGTGAAGAAACCAATCACAAACTGTAACCCAAACAACCCCATTGTGACCATACCGAGCCATGAATGTAAGGAATAAAAATTTGGTTTCGGTGGGCTATCCAAATTGTGGGAGTCGTACACGGCCAAAAAGCCGATTGCAATACAGGGTATTGATAACGTATGAAACAGGGAATGTGCTAATTTTGCATAAATATGTTTCAAGCATCGGCACAAACGATAAAGTAAAATTGCTATTTTTGAAATTAAAGCAAAGAGAAGAAAAAAAAGATGGAATTAACAATAATTTTAAAAATATAACGTTTTTATGCTTACAAAATCCCGATAAAGTAATAAAACCAATGACCATAAATACAGGATGAAGATTGAATTGAATTTTCGGGTTTTCTGACCATGCAAATCCATCACGGTAGTATATGACCCAAAAGAGTGTCAATGCGGAGGCACCAATAAGAAGCACAGAAGAAACGATCACTGTCAATATGTACTCGCACCTGAGAATTTGATAAAATTATTTGTGTTGTGAAATGAGAGCTATTCTTCAAGTTTGTACAAAGAAAAAATCAATTCTCACCATGAAAAAAAACCCCATGTATTCTCGAGGTCATCATCGTACCTTCTGAAATAAAAAAATTGTTTGTTTGTTTTTAATAGCTTTTTTACTTTTTATTCATATTCATTTTATCATTTGGCGATTGAATTCGCTTAGTAAACATAAATCTGGTTTAATATCTGCAACTGCTATTTATTATTAGTAATTAAATTATTGTATACTGTATTAATTGTTTCGCCATATTTAAATTGTTAATTTTGAAATAATCTTCAGTTTAAACAGTTTTTGTGCTTTTATCTTAAATAAAAGGCCAATTGTTTGAACAAATTAAGACATAAAAGAACTAGAAATAATTTAAAAATGTAATAATTATTCTAATTGTTGCGTGTCGAAATATAAAAATGCAGTTTGTATCACATTTGTGTTGATTATTGAGATTTTTTACGTAAGGCTTTTTATATACGAGTGTGAATTTATTATATTATTATATTGCTCATTTAAAAGCAAAAAGGAAAAAAAATTCTTTGTATGAACAGGTAAAACATTATGAAGAAACCTATATGATAAATACAATGGGTATTTATTTAACACATCAAATGGACTACTCTCTCATTTCTAAATGCAAAAAATATAGATTCACAATAGCATATAAAATGTTAGATAGGAATACGTGTTTGGGATTTTTTCTCTTTTAGATTTATCGTGCTACGTTTTCACTTAAGTGAAATTTCCAATTCCCCTTGAAAGTACTAAAAGAATTTCTCCAACAGCAGCCATTGCAAAAACAAAGTGCATTGAACATGCACGATGATCGTCATAAACCCATGGGTATATGCCAATTTATTTTATTCACGCAGTTAATAATGAAGATCACTTGATCATTTTGAGACCTAAAACGATAGAAGATCGATTTCTCTTGCAATGCATTAAAATATGTGTAGTTATGTGATTTACTTTTTATCTGGAACCAGAAAAAAAATACTTACTTTCATTATGGCATCAAAAAAAGATCTTATATCATATAATATTCATCAAAAAAGATATGATACGTGTTATCTTGAAGATAAGCGACAAATTGTGATTTCATTTGTTCCGTTATCTTATACGATATATGAAAACACACACTTCAAAACATTAAATTAATAACTTAAATACGGCGCAATACTGCTCATAAATCTGTCACTGTTGCATCATTAATTAAATCTAACTAAAATATCTTTGCTAATGGTATGGAATATGCCACTTTTAATTTAAACAAAGCTCAGAAATGTTGGAAGCATTTAAAATGTGATTTCACTTACGATGTCCCAGCACTATTTCCGCCTCTTGTCATTTCTGAATTGACCAACGAATAAAAACTGCAATATTTTTCCCCGTAGATTTGTTCTTTTTTGCAGTCGTAATTTTTTTCTAAAAAAAATACAAGATACGACAGGAATTTCCTTCAATACCTTCAAAATTCAGCTTATTCTTATTGTAGATAAACTCTAACAAAAATCAAAACGTTAATAATTTGCACAAGTATATTTTTAGTTGGGTGTTGTTTTTATCTCAATTTGATCATAATTTTAAATAAAAGATCAAGTTTATGTATGCAAAAACGATTAAGGTGGAATAAAATATTTCAATTCATTTAATATTAATTTACTTGATGAAAAATTTCATTTACAGGATATTTAATTATTACTTTTACTGCTAGACTTATTAAACCGGAGCAACACAGATAAATTAATGTAACATTCGTCTATATAACCGGAGATCCCTCATGTGACTGACCCTACACTGTTCACTTAAATTCAAAACATGTGCATGGATGTTAATGTAAAATTTTATTGTTCACGATTTTTCAGTACATACACACATCTATTAAATTCTGATGGCATTTGTACACGACGAGACTAAATGTAGTTACAATGTTTTGAATGTGTTTGTTGTGCTCCATACATCAATAATAAAAGGAAAACCAAAACAATAAAATACGAATTTTGATGGCAGTATGATTACATAACATATGTCCATAAAGTTTTGGCAGTAAATTCAGGCGTTTATTGCGCCACATAAACAAAATCAAAAATATCAACCAATGCACACGGCACGTTTATCAGTACCTCGGGACTACTATCAAACTCAATTCGATGAAATACATCAATTCGTGGAGACGTACAAATTGGATTTACGAAAAAGTGTCTCAAATGGTTGTGGCGGCTAAGTTCAAAACAAATTTCGCATGTGTCTAAAGATGAACCCATCTGCCTACGAACCATATATTGTGTTTCATGGACTTAGTATGAAGACAAAGATTCTAGAGAAAGCAAAAAGTACGGTCGTATTCCCTATTTAAATGCTCCAACCCTCCAAAATTGTCATCAAGTACCGAAAACCGGGTTGGTCAAGCAAAAATTCGTTTTTGGTGATTTTTATGGTTACAGCACATCAAAATTTGAACCAAAACAATAGATTTAGACCCGGTCATTAGGAATCAGCAAAATAAGTAATGAAAAAATTCAATATGGTGTCAAAAATTGGGTATTTACTTCACCTCATAGCATTTTGCACTGAAAAATTCATCATTTTGGACAGTGAAACATTCATCGCTATGTCGAACCACGAATCAAGTGCAAGTGGTTTCTTTTGCACTGATTATGTTAGGGCACTACTATATAAGGCTAGAGACGTCGACAAACCGAACTTTGATAAAGGCGTGTTTGTATGGTAGGATCTTCTTTGGAAGGTGTTTTAGAGCCAATATTCGAGAATTTGGTGCTGAAACGTAAGTAAAACCTTCATTACATGCTCCATTATCAACCAATTGTTGTTGAAATCGATAGAATTCATTGAGAACTATCTGATTTAACACAAAATTTTGGTTTGCAAGCAGAAAAAACCACAATAATGGCTCACTTCTTAAAATATGACATTTCCGTGAAAAAAGGACCATCTGTTTAACTTCACAAAAAGACACCAAATTAATTATTTCTCGTCTGTTTTTGGATGTAAGTTATAGGCGAAGGTCCAAAATACTTGAAACAAGCAACAATTAGCGGGAAGGTTCGAGAGAAAGTTGAAAGAAATCGACATATTGGTCCGCCAAAGCATGATTTTGAAGGTTCGACGCATACTGAGGAAAATCGAAGACAATGGCCCGTTCAGTGTAAGGTGAATGTGCTATTCGTAGCCCATTAATGAAGGTTTATACCAATAAAAAAGAATTTAATATTGTATGTTTGTTGTTCAAATGGCGAACATCTGAATTTACTGTCAAGACTTTATGGACATATGTTATTGTGGTTGCAAAGTGATGTGCTGCAATGCCATTGTAAACATCAATACAGTATCGCATATCAGGTTTATTGAAATTGAGTTCAATGTATATGTTGCCACTGACTGAGCTGAAAAATATTTTTGTAATGTACTTTCTATGTGTGTGAAGCACGAGCAAAATTGTTTTCTCTCGAAAACGATCACTACTATTGTATCTTAGCGAATGCTTGATTTTTGCTAACATTACTTTCACTTAAATCTTCAAATTGGATTGTTTCTTAAAACAATTGAATTGAATAAATGATCTAGAATAAAAGTATGTCTTTATGGTGACAAACACCATGAAAACTGCAGAAGAAAGTATATTAAAAAGTATAATAAACTATTTGCACAGTCGTCTTTCCACATTTAGTACAACAGAGTCTATAGATAAGTTTTAAGATTTAATGTTGTAAGTATCATTCACAAAAAATATTGATATATTTAATTTTACAATTGACATTGTCATTCAAATATTTTTACATTTGGTACATTATAGTAAAAATTATAATCAATAATATTCGTTTTTTATTTTAAAACAACAACAACAACAATTATGAAAAAAACTACAACATATATTAAACATTTTCGAAAAATAAAACTTTAACCACTCTAATCAATCCTGGATTTGTTGTATTAGTGATATACAGGTTAATGGTTAGTGACACAGACAAATTATGGTAATTATCTATGGATTATTGGCGCCAATTTACAAACATGCAAGTAACAAAACTAAAAACGATTTTCACTCGTAGTTGTACGAGATCGTGGCCTCTTAACTCATAGACACTCTCAATATTGGGGTAGCATTAATAATAATTGAAGTCATCAATAACTGGGCCAAATAAATCCCAGTGATGGTTTTTTCCTATCTGAATAGCGCTAGCTATTCGCAGCGTCTGAACAGCATTGCTGCCCAGATGCTGGCTGAATCGAAGCGGTTGCCGCACGCGTTTTGTACCACACAACATATTGTCATATAGTCTAAGTAACCAGTGAGCTCACAGAGTATGATACACTAATACCATAGTCAGTATACAAACGCATGTCGAACAGAGAATGAACGCGAACGTATATGCTCTGTGTGGTACAAACGAAGTGTGTTGCGCGTGCGGCAACCGCTACGATTCAGCATCTGGGCAGAAATGCTGTACAGGCGCTGCGAATAGCTAGCGCTATTCAGATAGGAAAAAACCATCACTGATAAATCCAGCCAGGGATACGTTGTTAATCATATATATATTTTCACCATAAAAAATCAATTTGAAAAATCAAAATGAATTTCCTTGTTCATTGCGTAGTTTTCTTTCATATACGTATGCCTTCAGTTAGTACTTGAAAAGATCCGGTAATGAACTTTAAATGGCAAATGAACCGTGCGGTTAATAATATATTTAGATTATTTTCCAACAACTTTAATTCAAACGTTTGTGGTAACAAAATTGGCTACATCCGTCTTCTGCAACAATTTATATCAATTTAAAAAATAAAAAAATCATATCATTGATGCTCTAGTTCCAATAGTGAAAAACTATATTACAGAATTGTATTATACACACAAGTACAGTTAGTATTATTAATTTACTATATTTTCAGCAATATTTTCAATATAAATGAACCAGAGTAACAGAAAATTTGTCTTTTAAATATTCACCAAAATAAAAATAAACGTTTTTCAACTTACTTCTCAAGAGGTGTAGACTGACAACTTGATGATGTTTTTTCACTTTCCACCGGTGCTTCTGACAAGGGGTTGACAGTATTCATTTTTTGCGAATAGTAGACCACTTATCTAGACTTTTTTTTTAAAGAAAACGTTCCACTTTAGAATTAAAAAGAAATAGATTAATAGTTAATATAATATAATCTTATAATATAAGATAAAGAAATAAATTAATAGTATTTCCATATACAGTTGGGACTAATAACATCAGACTAGTAAGATAGTTAATACTTATTTTTGTACTAATCACTTCTAATAACTGGTAATAAGATGTCATCTTATTACACTAATAGTAATAAGTATAGTTATTAGAATATTACTAATAAGATGCATGTAGTTATTAGTATAGTTAGTCATCAATATATTTCGATTGGTGTTACTAGAATCAAATTTTCCTTTGGAAATTTACCGACTTTTTGCTGAAAAAGAAACTCCCGGAGACTTGGTATAACTCACAAAATTATTAAAAAAAATTTTTTTTGTTATTTCGACTGTCTTTCATCGCTACATGGCAAGTTTATATGAAACTCTCGGAAACTGGGTATAACGCAAAAAAAATATTGAATTTTTTTTTTCGTGTTTCAGTAGTATTTGATTCTAGTAAGACCAGTCGAAATACTATTATTTATTTATTTATTTATTTATTACAAAGCCTACATTTATGCCAATACGTGTTAACAGTGAACTGAGAACATGCTGGTCAGAGACCCAATACGGCATAAATTCCGCCCATGGTGCGTCTTTTGCAAAGAGAATACAGTCAGGGGAGGGATGGTATTAAAGTGAAGCTTCAATACCAGAATTGGGTCCGGAAAACCATGGCAAAACCGGCCTGACTCTGGAGAGCCAGGGGAAATACAATAATAATTATTTGAAGTTAAATTACGTTAACATTATTAGATAAAAAGAAATGAAAATGAAAGACTAAAATTATCTTAAAACTAATTGGTAAGGAACTTCATGACATCAATCCGAGAATTCGCGATGGAAGTAAATTTATGATGTTAAAAACGATTAAAGACGATTAAAAAGGATTATTGAGCGACACGTAACAGATGCTTTATGCTATTTTTAAACGAGACTATAGATATAGAGTTTCTGATATCAACCGGTATACTATTCCAAAAATTTATTGCCGAGTAGCCAAATACGCGATCATCAAATGCGGTGCGCGGATTGAATTTTACACGAAGGTTATCAGGATAACGCGACGATTCACCGTTACGAACAAACATGTGATTCAAGTAATCAGGCGAACGATTTCTAATACTAATAAGATACATGCATCTTATTAGTCTTCTGACTAGTAATATTCTAATAACTATACTTATTAGTGCAAAAAAATAATAAGTAATAATATAGTTTGATCTTATTAGAATGATAAGATAATAAGATGAATAATGAGATACCGAAAATGCCCAACTGTATTTCCATAGCACTTTGAATTGAAATAAAACAAACATACGTTTTGATGACAAAAAATTAATCAATTTCTGGTAGACACAAGACGTTTTTAAGTAGATTTATTTATTTAGTTTGTATGAATTGTAGTTATTTGTATGAGGAAGTACAACAATGATAGAACATGCTAAATATTTATAAATTTTGGTCACTAAACTGTATGTTCAGATTGACGTCACTGTGATATTTTACACTATCTACTTGATGTTTGTTTGATAGTGTAAAAATATCGGCCAATTTGGGACGTTTTGACGATATATAGATAGTTTCGAACAAAGTGAGACGTTATAATCGGTCATAGTCAAATTTATATTCAGACTAATTGTAAAACATTGTGAAATTTAACATCGCCAGAAAGTTGTAGTCTCTATTCTTTATTTATATATCAAACAAATAACAATTTAAGTAGCCCGAGATATAGCAAATATAATAAGGAAACTATAAAAAATGGTTTCAAATAAATAACGCAAATCGCTATTATAATTTTATTGAATTGAAAATATATGGATTAACTTTGCACAAAATAAAAAAAATCAGGCTCTAAGACTTTTAAAATCGGTTTTTATTAGTGATGGTTTTTTGCTGTCTGTATTGCGCTAGATATTCGCAGCATCTGTCCAGCATTGCTGCCCAGGTGCTCATTCGATGCGTTCATCGCACGCCGCTGTGTATGGTACAAGAAAGTGTGTTCCGCATGCGGTATGCGGTGAACGCATCGAATCAGCATCTGGGCAGCAATGCTGTACAAACGCTGCGAATATCTAGCGCCATTCAGACAGCAAAAAACCATGAACTGGTGGAATTCCTATATTTTCGTCCCCAAAAATCTTTTTACACAGGACTCGTAAAACAATGGGTAAATTGCCGAAGTACACTATATGTCAAATTACTCAAAACTCAATTCAGTTCACACTATTCAATTTCACTGACCGTGAATAGCGATGCTTTGAAATTATGAGCGTTCAACGTTTCTGCTATGCACACACCTCTCAAATAGTATATAGTTTATTGGGTTTACAGCCGTTTTAAAGTGCTTACGCATCGGTCGTTGATTGCAATCAAACTTTGCCAAATGATAAAACTGAATATCCTCTATTCAACCGTATATAGCTTATTAGCCGATGAACATTCCTTAAGAGTTACTCTGAATTCTCAATGACTTATAATGAGGAAAGTACATTTTTGGAACTGAATTGAATTCAATAATTCTCAAAATATGTTTTTGTATGTGTCTTTTTCGTAAACGCAATCGAGTTTTTGAAACAATGATTGTTCGAAAATCATTCACAAATTTTTTATTTCACTCAATTCGAGTTATTTAAAAGGATTATTTTCAAGATATTGTTAGGAAATTACATTGGTTATTATTGATATTTTTTTAAATTTCACTCATTTAACTTTTCAATTTCAGAATGAAAATTTAAATAAGCCAGGCGAAGGAACGTTCATCAGATATCATTAATCAATTATAAGCATAAAAAATGATTAATTTTGCTGTAACACTAGCGCAAAAGGTAAAAAGATTGTTGTATCGAGATGCCCTTCGTGGTTTGGTGAAATACATGAAAGATAACATGTTATTTGTTATTTTGTTAATAAAAGAAGATTCGTGATTAAGTCACTGCAAACATATTTTGGAAAGAAATCCAATGAATTTCGGGTTAATAGAATGCAAAAAATCAATGTTTGTTGTAATTTAAACAAAATGAATTCGAGATATGATTTTGTGATTTGGATCAGTACAGCCTCTATTCTTGGAAAAAATCAAAATAGGACATACACATAAGTTACAAATATAACGCTTTATTTAAAAAAAAATCGAAAAACCTTCAACTATGTTTGGTTTCTACAGTCGAAAAAAACCTTTTTTATTTTATGCCTTTAACTTTAAATTTCAGTAATTTTTTACTGAATTGGGTTAAAAAACAAACAATATGCCAACACATCGTACCCAAAAATCAAAGTTACATCCAGAATACAGCTGCTTGTAAACATATAATAATAAAACGAATAGCACGCTCTTCACTACATGACAAAAACTTGAATGCACTCAATTTCAAATAGAAAACTCGACCTTTAAAAAATTTGACAAACAAACGACGTCTGAGTGCTTTTAAAAATTCCAAAAATAAATGAAAATTTAACACTTTGGAAAAAAAGTCATTAATTTACTCTGCTTCTAAAGCAAAAACGTTTATGGAAAAATGTTCATTTTTCACCCATATTCCTAAGCTTAACCATGTTTGAGTAGCCTGAGCTCAGTATGATAAAATAAATTACCAAAAAACTTTGGAACAGTTTCCTAATATATCAAATGATTTATTACACATTATAAAAAACAAACCTCTTAATTCGAAATGTATAAAGGAAATTATGTGTCGTATTTGTACAAAAAATAGCTAAATCAAAGTAGAAATACACTCTTAACAAGAACGTTTCAACTGGAACGACATATACAGAATGAATCTGTAGTATTGTGGAGTCGGGTACATTGCTACTTCAATGCAATCTATGTGCTACGTTAATTTGTTAAGCATTATAAATTTTATTTCACTCAAACTGTTTATCGGAACCCTCGGAAGCTGGGTATGTGTAGGGCAATTGGTCTAGCAGTGGTACCTTAAAATATTTTTAATTTAATCCGACCCGGAAAAACTTTTCAAAAAAATGATCTCACAAAGGCAAAACATTTTATCGCCAAGTGCTGTTTAACGCTGAAAAGCTATATTTGGTTATATTGAGTGCATACAAGTTTTTTCAGTAGTGGTAAATGACGTCATTTTCCGGTAGTGGTCCCTTTCCAATCCATCATCGTGAACAGTGTGTCCATAATATATAGAAATAGCACTAAATAGTGTCGATATCTATACTATATCGGTCCACTATATATGGAAGATATTGCCGCACGGCACCGTATCGCACGATCGAAGTGAGTGTAGACGGGAAAAATCACAAGTTGCCGTGCGGCAGTAGAAAGAACTGTGTCTATGCGTCAACATTTTTGCCGTCCGCACTCACTTCGATCGTGCGATACGGTGCCGTATAGCATCTTAATAGAATATCATTATGATACAAAATGTATTAAGATTCGGGTTTGGCGAATCTATATACCAAAATAGTGTTGGCTGCGAATATCTACGAACACTCGTTCGTTCGTAGGAAGAAGATGATCGAAAGTAGTATAGCATTCGTTTTTTTTTTCCAATAGATGGCGACACTAGCAAGTTTAAATTTTAATTGTAATACCACACTGTAAAACTGAGGGGATATTTAATAAAAATCCAAAGGGATTAAATTCTAATCCCGAATATATAAAAAAAATCCCCAATTAGAATGTTAAAGCAATACTAAAATTAATTTGTTTGAATTCGATTTATTGATTATCATCGATTTCACGGTGCAAAAGGTACAGTTTAAAGCAGAGCAGCGATTGCGTGAAAGAAGCAATACATGCGCAATCATCACATGTACGCTAAAGGTGTACATCACAGCGACGAAGCGGCAGAGTGCGCACATGTATTGAGGTTTTCACTATTTTATCAGCATATTTTACTCTGTTGTGATGCTTGTGTATATGTATTGTTTCAGCTACAACTGACAGTTCTCGTTTGCACTGTACTTGTGTATATGTTTTGCTCAGTGAAATCGATGACAACAAACAAAATGAATTCAAACAATTTATTTTAAGTACACACCTAGTATGTAAGGAAAAGTATTTGAATCGGTCGAAAAAATAAGACCCCCTAAAAACATGTTTTCTGGGTATTTTCTGGGACTGGGTGAATCAGCCATTTTTTCGATGTTCGAATGTATGTGCGTACCCTGTACGCTGTACGTAAAAATTTGTTAACACGATAACTTTCAACCAAGAAAAGTAATTCAAAATCTGACTTCACAGGATAATTATCTTGGGGGTGAGTTTTTGTATGGAAGCCATGTTGTTAGCCCAAATGTAGAAAAAAAAATTCCCTCCTGTTTAAATTCCATATAAAATTTCTCGATGCAATTTATAACACCAAAGAAATTTTTGCTTCCTCAATACTTTTCCTCAATTCCATATTTTAAGGTCACAGGTAGCGTTTTTACACTATACGATGTATAAAAATGACCCAAATTTGAATTGTTAAAATCGAAATTTCGGATCTTTGAAATCAGTTTTCATAGATTTTAAGATCTTGTAAAATGTCTAATTTTATTCTATGATCTAAGCCGTATTCAAAAGAATGGAGCGAATAGATAAAACATATCTACACAGTGTGCACTTTTATTATATATGGGTTTCAAAAATACGTTTTTTCTCATACATCAATCTTCTATTAACAGAGAAATCCTACTCTATTCGTTACACAATTTGGTTCCTCTGTGTTGCACAGACTTGTGACAACGGTATATGATCATCTTCGGCGCTCACTTACGATCGCAACCGGCTCGATATTCACATTCAGTTGTAATTTACACTCTGAACACATCACAGTGTTTTACCAGATTTTTCTTTCTAAATACGATTATATTTGCGGTAACTAAGGTATATTTTGCCTCTAATTTACTTTAAATCATCTTTACATAAATTGCTATTGTGTGTTAATAATAATATTATAGTTATTTAAAATGTTGATCATAAAAAGAATTATAAATTCATCAAATGTGTATGAATCTATTTGTGCTCCAATTTGATTTCATTTTGCTTTGATTTTCATATTTTACCGCAATACTGAACTTACATATTAATAACAAAAACGGCAATTGTCAAAGAAAACGAAGTTAAATCTTGATAAGCTATGACAGCAATGTATAGGAAAAAAATCAAGTGTTAAATAGGAAAGTTTACATAAACGCAAATGAAATTCCAGTTGTTAGAAAGCTCAGCCAATATGAATTACTGCGTACGACGAAAGTATTGATTTTTAATGAGGATAAAATATTTTCAAGAAGTATAACTTTTATCAAGTTCAATTTGTTAAACGTGATGTTTAAAAATATACAAATAAAATATCTGATTCTATAAATATCACTTCAAATTAAAAAAAAAAAAATGTTAAATTTGCATGTATATATGTATATGAATATAAAATGAAAGTGATCATTAATTATGATCAATTATGTGATTTTTTCAGTGGAAAATTAAATGAAAGCAATTGTTCAGTTGAAAGATATCGTATACTGTGCTAATCAGGTCAACATAATACAAACAAAGTCAAACTGGCGTCCAAAGTGTTGCGAGCTAGATCAGAGAGCTTCACCGAGAGCGATGCAAGCTTTGCATCGAGCACAGATGACACTAACGAATGTTCTACTGTAACCGAAACTAATGTAACATCACAAAACACAAGCCTTAGTAAGGCGACCATAACACATGTTACGGTGCCCAAAAGAATTGTGATTAAATATTCCGCCAATATAGAACAACCTAAGATAAATCCACCAATTGCTATACTCGGCCCACGTGATAGTGAGTCATCTGATCAGGGAGTTCTGGAATCTGATTACAGCGAGGAAGATGGAGAGTCAGATATGGAAGAGGTTGATGATGAAGAAGACATTGAAGAAGAAATGACAGATAATACAGAACCACTATCGAAAGATGATTTGACTACTGCCGATGTCACAGAATTAACAACAGAAGCAGACGGACATAGCTCGGACGAAACTGAGTCAGAGGAAGAATCAGAATACGAGGAAGAAGAATCAGATGAAAATACATCGAGCCAAAATATAAATGAATCACAGTCAACAAAACGATACGTTTTAGAGGATTTTCAGCTATTAAAAACAATTGGTAAGTACAGCGATAGTTTTTTGTAAATATTAAAACACTCCATTTCAATAGAAAAATAATTCTTCAAACATTCCTCATCCTCAATATACATTTTCGAATTGGACACAAATATTCGTAACTTTGAACGTATATTTTTTCTTGTGAATTACTTATTTAATCATTCAATACAAAAAATTCGATGATGTTTTGAAATTTATTTGAGTTTATTTTATATTTGTTCATTTTATACACGTGCTTCTGTGGTAGTAGGTTTGCTTCCGTGCAGTTATTTAAATATAGCGTGACTTTCTGTACGACTCAGTAAAATTATAGAAGTTTGAAAAAACAATCAAAATGCTTCCTCTCTTTTTGTATGATACTCGTTCAGACGGTGAAATTTTCATCATCTTTTGGAATAAATATAATTTTCATTTTTTTTCACTTTCTGATTTCGTGTTAGATATTAATAATCGTATAAATATGTGTAAATATACACGAATGAAACCATAACACAAATGGATGATCAACGTAAACGTAGGCGGACTTTTTTTAAATAATGAAAATTTAACAGCAGTTATTAATATAATGGAAATGAGAGATCACCAAATTACTGAGTTTTTTATTTTTAATAATCAATTTATTTCGTAATCCTCCATTAATTTATTATTAAAAAAAATAGAATCATGGAGATTTCCAAGTATTTTCAAAGTACATTTTAATGTAACCCTTGAATACATTTTTGTGATTGTTTACATTTTGTTATAAATATCAAAATTAAATCATCAAATAATAAATTAATGAAATTAAATTAGGCGAAATAAAACTGTTGATGAATAGTTTATATCCAATGATGTTCTTTCATCAATAATTGGCAAACATTCTATAAACAACAGCTCCTGTAACTGAATAAAAAAAAAAACAACGTTGACTTTGAAAACGTCATTCTCTCATATTTCTCGCTAGTTTTTGCGTTCTTTGTTCATTCAAAAAAGCTTTGTATTTATCAAAAAGGACTGTTATCTAAAGATATGAAAAAACTGTTCAAGCAATACTTTTCTAAGAAATTTCAAGTAATCCTAAATATACAAAGATATTAACAGTATAGCATTGGAGAAATTTAGAATAATAATTAATATATCATATTTATAACTATTAATATAAATTATCAATCGTTAGTCGAATATCAGAAGAAACGGTGATGTTTTATTCCTAATAATAATACCAACTATCGCATATTTAATAAATATTTGCATTAAACATAAAACATCCCAATTTAAAAGTAATCTCAACTGAAAAGGAAATTGTTTCGAAAAAATGTTATTTAATAAATGTATTTCATCAAAAACATAGACCAATAAAATTGATAAACATTTATTGCCCGATATTCGATCCAATGTAAGTCCCATTGGAATTCTTTGAATGAGTCTAATCCATTAAAAATAGAATATTCAAACCGCAGCAAATGTATTTACAGCACACGCTTCAAACTGTGACTGTGTTAACTTAATTCAAAACAGAAATCCTGACTAGGCATATAAAGATAACTATGTGCCTCACATTCAGAATGTATTCTGCACTTATTATTTATTTTAACCCACATATGTTGTTTGAAAACATTGAGGTTTCGCAACTACTTAAAATTATATGATGAACATGAAATAGTAAAATTTTTGAAGCTCTGTCGATAAAGAAATTGCTCAATCATCATTTTTCACGTCAGTAAAAAGCATTACAAACTCGCGCGTCAAAAAGCAAATACTACGAACAATACCGTTTGCACTAGTCTCGCGTACAACATGTATATTTCACTTTCATAAAATAAGGTGTTGACAATAATTCATCATTTAATAATACAAAAAAGACTTTTCGGCCTGAATTAAACATGAGTTGGCTACATTGGGTTTCCACTAATTACTTGATTCTTTAAATATGTGAGAAAAAAAGTTCAAATTAGTATTAGCAAGAGATATAGTTTTAATGAACTTTGTTTCTTTTGAAATATTCTAATATTCTGTTATTAAACTCAATTAATAGGCACCGGGACATTTGGTCGTGTCTGTTTGTGTTTAGACCAAAAGACGAATAGATATTGTGCAATGAAAATATTGGCGATGTCAGATGTTATTCGACAAAAACAGGTGGAACATGTTAAAAATGAAAAAAATATTTTGGCAGAAATTAAACATCCATTTATCGTGAATTTGTAAGTAATAATGAACCATTTTCTTTTTATAAAAGCTATTTGTTCTATGTTCTTTGAATTTTATTGATTATAAAATAAATATCTGTTTAGTTCAAAATAAATGTGGTAATAACAGAAATAATGCTTTCGAAATGCTTTGAAGTGGCCCAAAATAGTAATTAATTTACAACATTCCAAGTGGGTTTTATCATATTCAAAAATACCCCCAAAATCAATGGGACGAAATGACAGCAAATTTTAAAATAAGCGCGCTGTTTAGTTTCGATTTGAGTTGTTAAATTACATTGACGTCCCCTTTGAAATTGGTGGCGCCACCGTCGGCTCAATGAGACTTGAAGTCTTCACATCATGTCATTGCCCAAAATACGAGCCAAACCCAAAACTAATTACATATTTGTGAAAAATTACATTTAGCCGTCAAGCACTGTACTCTCTCTAAATCCCCCCTATCACTATTTTGGGGGTATTTTTTGAAATGTTTGTAATTTTTGTATGGGAGGGGATGTTGAATGGCAAAAATAAAATGTGCTCATGAAATTAGCTATAGTTGTGCAAAATTCCGGAACGGTACTAGAACTTGACTCAATAGTGGATGAGAAAAATATCAATTTTATGGTATTTTTGGATGAAGAATCCGAATTTGGGGGTTTCCACAGTAATGAAACGACAACAACAACAACACGTATTTTTAATGTCAAAATGTTGAGTCAGAATGGTGTCGACATTAGTGATAGTATTTTGCAACAATAATTAATTTTCATTGTATGTTTGCAAATTCGATCTAGTTCACATTGACGGTTGCAAGTATTGGTTCTTCAAATCATTCATATCCATTCATATACCGAATAGATGACTATGTGATCGACGGTGCTGAAATCGCCCCCGCTTTCTCTATATATTTTGTGGGTATATTTTTGTTTGGTTGGTGTTTTTTTTTGTTTGGACGACAGAATTGCAAAAGAAATACATACAAAATAAGAAAAAACCAAAAATCTCTCGAACTCAAACATCTGAAACAAAATACTTTTTGCTCATTAAATCGTTTAAGGACATGGACTGTGTTTCTTCTGTTACATGTACATTATAATGGACAAGTATGGTAAAAACTCAGCCATAGACTAGTGGTTAGCGTGCGAGGTTTGTCAGCGTGAGGACACGAGTTCGATTCTCGGTCAAATTTCGTCCGGTACTTTTCCACCGTGATTCGCTCAGGAATTGTCTGTGGTTTAAGGAGGAGAGGTTAATGCCGTGTCTCGGATTTGTGGAGTGCTTCGGAGCGCACTTAAAGCCGTCGGTCCCGTGTGTATGCACAACAGAGATATGGGTTCAGCACAGACACACGTAAACATGTAGTGACTTCGCGTTAGGTTGATGTCTTACCATTACATGTTAGATATATCAATATCCAATACATCAACCGCAAAAAGGTAGTGCCGAACTGCTGGTGAATATACCGATAAATCAGTGGTATTCGCATTCCCCCATTTGAAAAAAGAGCTCAACGCCATATGTATGCATCGGTAGAATTGTGACTGTCATGACAATTGCATTGGAGGAATAATCCAAGCAATCGAATGACAGCACCATGCAATAAGGTTTGTGTCAAGGTGTTATCAGATAGCGTAACTCCAATAATGCATCAGGCTTGATAGCATACATTCAGGAGTGCATCGGCCTAGATAGCGTACTTTCCGGAAATGCATAGGACTACGGCACAAAAACGCAAATCTATATTATCTATATCATGGGGTCAATCACGAAATTCTAGTGCATCTAGATTTTGATAAAATTTTACTAGAAAACTAGAAAATTCTAGTGCGTGAAGTTGTCTCTCAATAGTTTTTCATATAAATTATATGGCCTTTGGTGTGAAGTTGGCTTCGTTTGTGACGTCATTCTTCGCACTAGATTTACTAGTTTTTCTAGATTTGTTTCTGTGTTCAACGCTGGAACTTTCTCTATGAGATCAGAGGCGATTTGACTTTTAAAACGTGTGGTGAAAATCAATTTACTTTATTTACTACTGAAAATCATCATAATATTATTGCTTATATAATTTAACGTAATTAGTAAATATTTAACTTTTTTATCACTGTGGATACTGTAACTTAAAAAAAAAAAATGGATGAAATTTGATTCGTATATTATTTTTATCGTAGAATATGGCACACGAAAGATGACTTGTGTTTATATATGTTGTTTGAGTATATCATTGGCGGTGAATTATTTACGTATTTACGGAATGCTGGTAAATTTAACAATTCAACAGGTAAGTTAGTTACTACATAATTAATAATAAAATACACCTTAAAAATGTGTTATGTCAAATTCCGTTCGATGTTGAATTTCCAAAAATGGTTCACACTTCTAAAATGTATAACTTATGTTCATTATATCATGAGTCTGTACCAACAATATATAATTTAAATTTATTAAACAAAAAACCCGTGTGCAAAAGAAGTTACTGAATGAGTGCTAGCTGAAATCAACTAAGTTTTGTTAACTGTAGCCGTTTAACCAGTTGATGTTCGTCTATTTATCTGTTTGAAGCTCAAACTTTGAACAGACTCAAAAAATTAAATTGGCTTCGGGTAGATTGAGGTTAACAAGATCTTTTGATTTCCACCTAAGTAGTTGAGTTTGGTGAATAATGAGTGGTGGATTTGGTGTATAACTTCAAATTCACCAAAAAATTCAAGTTGAATTATTTCATACTTTTTTGCAAAAAATTCTTTGTTAAATGCATTGAACCGTTGTATATTGACCAAATATGAACAATGAAATTGTTATTAAATATTTACATTTCCCGAAAGTGGCGAAAAACTTGTAGAAAAATCCAATTATTTGGTGGTTCAATAAGTCTTTGGCCTAAAAATGAAAAATACATATTTTTGATCAAAAATCATTTTTATTATTCAATATAATCCCCGTCGAGTTGAACACACTTGGCCCAGCGCTCGGGTAACATTTCAATGCCTTTCGAATAATGGGTTTTGTCGAGTCCCCAAAAATAGGCATCAGTTTGCCATCCAACCTCTTCATTTGAGTAAAACTTCTGTCCTGCAAGTCACCTTTTCAAGTTTGAAAACAGATAATAGTCGCTGGGGGCTAGATCTGGAGAATACGGTGGATGAGGAAGCAATTCCCATCCTAATTCATCAAATTTTTCCATCGTCAATTGGGCTTTGTGTGGTCTTGCGTTGTCTTGATGAAAAAGAATTTTTTTCTTTGCCAAATGCGGACGATTTTTCTTTATTTCATCATTCAAACGGTCAAGCAAGGCTATATAATACTCTTTGTTGACCGTTCTACCCTTTTCGAGATAATCGATGAATATTACCCCATGCGCATCCCAAAAAACACTGGCGAATACCTTGCCAGCCCATCGATCTTGCTTCACACGCTTAGGAGGTCTTTCATCTGGTCCTACCCACTCCGCAGACTGACGTTTGTCTTGTGGTACGTAGTGATGGACCCAAGTCTCATCCATCGTGATGTATCGACGCAAAAATTCCCTTGGTTGTTCTTTTTGGTCGATGTTGAGAAAATGCGGCACCCACATAGCAAGCAGCTTTTTCATGTGCAAATGTTGATGCATAATTGTAACCACTGACCCTGTTGATATGCCTATGGACTCAGCTATCTCACGCACTTTCACTTTTCGATCATTCAATAACATGCGGCGGACTTGTTGAATGATTTCTGGGATAATTGTCTCTTTTGGGCGACCTGATCGTTCAGCATCAGCGGTGGATGTACGCCCGCGACGAAATTCAGCAAACCAGTATTTGATGGTTGAACTGGGTGGTGAACAGATGCCGTAGCACTTATCTAGCCATTCCTTTGCTTCGACGGTATTCATTCCCATTAAAAAGCAGTGCTTAATCAAGACTCGAAATTCACTTTTTTCCATTATTTGAAAAATCTCAAAAGTTGCTTGATACTTATGCCTGTAACTTGTGAACAAATGCACGGATTGGGCCTAAAATTTGACAGTATTGTGAAGACAGGTGGTACTTGTCAAAAATAAAGAGATTTTTTATTTATGACGCCATCTGGTTGTCAGGCCAAAGACTTATTGAACCACCAAATATCTTATTTTCCAAAAATGTGAATTTTTCTACTTTTGCAAAATTATTAAAAATTGTTGTACCTGATAAATAGGGAAAAGTAGTGGCTAGCGATGGATAGTACTTTGAATGAAATACATTGTACCATTTCTTTAAATAAATATTCAAACATGAAAAAATGCCGGTTTTTAATGCATACAACCAATATATTTTCACTGATTTTTTTTATAATTACAGCGAATTTTTATGCTAGTCAAATTATTCTTGCGCTAGAATATTTACACGAAAATTCAATTGTGTATCGGGATTTAAAGGTAATCGTGTTTTTTTATTGTTCATTTTACAAAACGTCTTAATTTTGAATTGAACAACAATTAACGCTAACATTCCTTAAAGCCTGAAAATTTGCTGCTAGATCGGGAAGGCCACTTGAAAATCACTGACTTCGGTTTTGCCAAAAAATTGAAAGATCGGACGTGGACTCTGTGCGGCACACCAGAATACCTTGGTAATTTAATTTCAAATTGTAATAAGTTAAATGAACAAATTTTAATAATAGTGGATTATTTTCAATACAAAAGCACCAGAAATAATTCAATCGAAAGGTCATAATAAAGCTGTTGACTTTTGGGCACTCGGAATTTTAATATACGAGATGTTATGTGGTTTTCCCCCGTTTTATGGTTGGTAATTAACATTTTACAGTAATAAGTTATTGGAAAAAACCCGAATTAATATCCCATTTTCCTTCATTATCAGCTGATAATCCGTTCGGTATTTATGAAAAGATTCTCAACGGCAAATATGAATGGCCATGTCTTGTTGATCCCATCGCAAAGGATTTAGTAAAGAAATTGCTCGTCCCAGATCGTACTAGGCGATTAGGTAATATGAAAAAAATGCAACATTATTTTCCAGCTTTTACAAGCATCTTATTATCAAATCATGCACACATAAATAAAAAACCAATTGCAAACAGAACAATTTGCAAATGAACTGAAGTCTGATGGGTAGTCAAATGTCCGGTCAATGTCAAATTTCAAAAAATCGTTTGTTGTACTATTTTTATTTTACTATATACTTTTTTATAACATCAAAATACCGACAATATTTGCCCGAAATTCGCACACCACCAAAATATATCTCATTTAATGTGTCTGTACATCAGAGTTGACTACGCACATTCATATTCGTATTCGTTCGTGTGAAAAAATATTTTTAATTATACTTTTCCGCACACCCACTGTGTGCAGTAAAGTATTGCAATCACCCCATGAAGTTTTGAAATCGCTAAAAATCGTTTTTTACGCGGGCACACCTTAGTGACTGTTTCCAAAATCGATTTATTTCTTATTTATGATGTACCTCGAGTCGAGTATGTTGTGTATCTATGATAAATTTTTTTCGGAACCCCCTCAGTACCCAAAAAATTTGGGTCGGTAGGAGGATAAAAAATTCTAGGAGGGCATAGCTCCCATACATATGGTAATATTTTTTGGGTTATTATTATAGTACTCTTCAATACCTTTCTAATGATATACAAATTGTATACATCTGTATATAGATAGTTTGTAGATATTCAATATTGAAACAATATTATACCGCTCTTGAAGTACTGAAAAAAGTGAAAAAATAAATAAATATTCATTTATTCTTTAAATAAAAATTATGTTTTTTTTTGCAATTTTATGCACAAAATTCAAAAAGAAATTAAAAATGTTATTTGAAAAATAAATGAATATATTTTTTTACTATTTTTAGAGCGGTATAATATTAATGGTTTTTTGAATTATTGTTCTGGCGCTGTACTCAAATTCACTCGTGCTATATTCATGAAAAGTTTTTGAAAGCGTGATTAGCCCCTAAACCAAAAGAGTCCCAAATTGCAAGCAAAAGCAAAGTGTTGTTCTCATCAAATAGGTAGAGTGAATTAAAGATATTAATTGCAGGCAACTTGCAGCAGGTTATAAAAGAGAAATTGGAAAAGCGAACAGAATCGGAATCGTCTTAAAAACGTTGTAATGTGATTAGATGTAGGTTTTGATAGAGAGGTCACAAATTGTGACTCACAATGCTTACGGAACAAATACATTCAATTTGCTATTAATTATGTAACTTTTCCATTCAAGATACAAATACAAAATCAAAATTTTATTTAATCTGTTTACGAAAGCGCATTTTTTCCCTTCGAGAAGAAAAATATTTGCGCCATATTGTACAATGATTTGAGAATGATACAAAGTAAATCCAGTTCCATAATTATATTTCTGATTCTCCCGAAGGTAATATGAAAAACGGTTCTGAAGACATTAGAAGGCATCGATGGTTTAAAAATTTGAATTGGGATGATGTATACAACCAAAGAATCACGGTATTAATATGATGATTATTAATATAACATTATTAAATATTATACTTGAGCTCAAATACGTTTATTAAAAATAGCCACCAATTAAACCCAAAATAACTACGGAAGGAGATACAAGTAATTTCGATGATTATCCCGATGATCAAGTGGTTGCCCGAGCGATACCTAAAAAGGATTTGATTTTGTTTGATGACTTTTAGCAATTTAGTATTTTATCATGAAATTAAGAATGAATTTTATTTATTTCACATCGCGTCAGACAGAATTAGTTTAGTTTATAGCCTTAGAAATTTAAGCAATATGTTGGCGCAAAACTTATTTATATTTAAAAAATATATGTTGGAAAATTTATTTATTTTTTTATAATTTTTACTTAAATAATGTATGAAAAAACAAATGCAGCTTCAAATACATAAAATATATCTTTAAATATTTCTTTTTCTCGGTTTTTTTTTCAAAGTTTTATTATCAAGATAAATAATACTATGTTGATCATTAAATTTAGTGAGTTTTTTTTAGTTGACTTCGCTATGATTTCTTCAGTACTAATTAAGTAAACGATTTCATCATCTTATTCAACTTGAATTCGTTATGTTATATTAATAATGTGGGAAGTTAACTACACAGTTGGTAAATGGAATTTTGCAATGCTTTTACAATCTCTATTTAATATTTCACTTGCCACTGTGAAATTCCTTGTTGCATATATTACAGCTCCATAATCCTTCAGGTGGAGATGTCAATGGTGGTGATAAACAATACATGTGATATCTGCTCGTAAAAAAAAATATTGTTTTTACATTTTTTTATCTTCGTCAAATGAAAATGATATATTTAAAATGATTAACTGTAATGATCAATAGAATTTTGGCTATGTCCCTTCAATATACAATTATATATACCGGCACTTCTGTTGGTCAATATAGTTAAACACAATTTATTAGAAATTACCCTCGATCGCAATCATCACAAAAGAGCAATTGATCATCATTATCAGATGTACCGCAAATAGAACAGTATTTACATTCAATACATTGCCACCGATAGCGCTTGACGCTAATGATCATGTTTGGCGTAAATTGAAGGCATGATGGGTGACCGGAGCGTCCACAGTCTGAGCAAGATACCAAATCTTCAGGAACCTTGGTTTTTTTATTTTCGCGTTCATCGCCCAAACAAAAATCACAATAAGGTGATGGAGGTGCTTTACTCCTTGTATCATTTGGTTTACGAATAATACGTAAGCGTTCCTCTTCTTCAGCGTGATTGCTGCAAAAAGTGTGAAACAATATTGAATGTGCAATATACAACAAATAATAGCTTGATATTACCTTTTTTCGATAGGGGCTGCAATGGGATTTTTTTCAGGAAGTGTAAAATCATGATGAATTTGTGGTGAAAGCTGATCAGATGGTAGTAATAATTGAGTTTGACTATCTTCGTTTGTATTCAATGGTGATAGAAAGATTTTCTTATTTTCAGCTGTTAAAAACAATAAGCTTAATATTAATAATATGAATTAATATTATAATGTTGCACTGGACACTTAAGCAAAACATCATCATTTCTTTTACCAAATTTTCTAGTTGCTATCAATTTTTATTATTCGAAACTTACAATGCCTTTTATTTGTTGAACGCGGTGTGTCACAATCGCCGCCTTTGTTGTTACGACGTCCCCTGCCACGACCTCTTCCGCGTCTATTCACCAAATCGCCTGGTGTTTTTCTGGAACGTCGCTTTTTTTTATAGTGACTGTCATCGTAATCGAAATCTGAGTCTCCACGATCTTCGAATGGATCAACAACATCGTGCATAACATCATCGTCATAAAACCACTCTTTCGGTTCAGAGTGACTATCCTTGCTTTCTGAATCGCCTGTGAATGATGATCGATCCAATCCAGGGATTGAATCTGCGTCTGGCTCTCGCCCCATATGGCGAAATGGACGATGGTGGAGTAAGTACTGTCTTTTCGATTTACGCCATTTAGCTGCTGGATAAGTATATATTTGTCCCTCACGAATACCTGGCATGCGATGTCGTCGTTTCATAAACAATGCACAATTAGTTTGAGCGACACCAGTTTGTTGATCTAAGAACGGCATCCGAAGCCTACGCTCAATACACAAACGCGTATTATAATTTTCACTGTTTTCCAACAATTCCCGATAAGCCGTATCATTTAAAAATGATTCAATTTTTGCTAAATTCGGTATATTTACAATTTGTATATCTGCAGACGCCATTGCCGCCATAATGCATTGGATGGGTTTTGGACTTGCTTTGCTTGTTTTTCGTGCACTGAACCTGGATCGATGATTGTTTTTTTTTCTTGTGTTTCTCTTTTTGACAGCGCGTTATGTTTGAGCTTTTTACTGTGACGCATCGTACGTGCGTGCGTGAGTTTTTGCCTGCGTGTTTACATTTTTAAATAGAATTTATACAATTCACAGGATATTGATTGATGTTTTAATATTTAAAAGAGAATCAAACATTCTCGTTTCAATAATATTAAAATTGTAATAAATCAAATAAGTTTCAATTCTATCGATAGACACGTTTTTTTACGACGTTCTATCGATAGACACGCAGTGGTACCAACATACAAAAAAAGAAACACAAGAATGAATGCAAGTGAATCTGAATCTAAAATACATTATTTATTTGACAAGTAAAATCAATCAATTGAGAAATATTTGTTTGAATGTTATTAGTAAAAGTTTATGAACTGTTAAAAAATTTATAATTACAATTTTCTGAGAATTTAGTTTTTATTTCCAATTCAAATAGTTAAACAAATCGAATTCGATGGATAATAAAAAACCATTTGGGTCCTCCTCATCACATAATAATAAAAACATAACCTCTAATCAAACACTGACAGTAGATCAACTAGATATTGAAATTTTGCCAATAATCTACGAAATTATTCGATGGTAAATATTATTTTTTATTTAGTTCAATTTTTTTTATTTACCTTCTCTTTGATTTATTTTTAGTTTTGAGAAAGATCCTACGGATAACGCTGCCAAGCAAAGAGAATCACAAGACTGCAGTCAAAAAGTATGTGTAAAATGAAATATTTTCATTTATTGTTTCAATTAAAAACTTGTTTTATTTAACTTTAGGTTATTGAATTGCAACGTCGTTTGGATAGCGCTCGAGCACAAGTAAACCGACTTTCTGGTATGTAATGTTTTGTAGTACAATATTTATATGAAAATTTCCTATTAATTAATTCGAAATTCTTACATAATTACATTTTTCTGGTCATTTAAGGTATTAACTACAATAAAGACGAACAATTACATCGCTTAGATTTACTACGCAATCAACTCAAACAAAAACAACACTTGATTAAGAAATACAAGAATATTCAATTTTAAGCATATTTACGACATCTAGTATTCACATCATAGTATGTTACGACATCTTCTTAAAAGATTGACAAGCGAAAAGATTGTAGAATATTTGGCACAAACATATGTAATAAAAAGGGCTGCACAAATGACTGTATCTGCATTTTATCGTATTTCAGACGATAAAAATGTTCGTAACATTTTCCAACCAGGAAAAATTCAAATATTTCTAAAATCATTCAAAAATCATCTCAAAAAAGAAATCGAAGATGCACAGAAAAAAACAAAAAAGTAAAGAAAAAATGTCACTAGTTTTTCATGCATAAAAAATTAATGAAAATGAAATAAAATCAATTACAAAACCGAATCGCTGTTTTTAAATAAGATTGCCAGAATACTGGAGAAAGCTTTGTTTTTTTTGTTTATTTCCAACTTTTTTTATTTTTTTATATACTATTCGTATTATTTACAAATTTATTTTATATAATGTTGTCATTTTTTTAGTTTTTGGATTTTTTTTTAATTCGTTCGAATTCATTGTTCTATTGAAACTACTACATTGTCTTAGTATCCAGTTTACGTTTGGCTAATAATTCTGAACGATATGTGCTTATTAGCATTACCGAATTTTATTAAAATTTTCTAATCTTCAATCTCGGTTTTTAATATTAAGTTTTTCATATTTATGTGGAAAAAAAAGACCCGTTTTAAGAGAAAGTTGTAAAACGTCCAAGTGTTGAAATTAAGATGTAATCTCAAAATTTGGTAAGACATTTCACGCCTATCTCTTTTGGTTTTGCTACGAGACGTAAAATAGTCGGTATTATTTTCAACTATTCACATAAAGTTAGCAATTCCATGCAAACTATTGAATAGTTGCGTCAATGTTCTTCAAAGTATCAATTGAACTTATCCAATTGATTTAAATTTTAAAATTATTTACTGAAAGTTGGCCTATTTGATGGCCAGACATCTGTGGCTAAAATACTAAGAACCAATATAAGTAGTCTGAGTTGAGGCGGCAATCATTTTTTATATTCAATAAAAAAGACCAAACGAACAAATTTTTAAACGAAATATTACTATTATGCGATTGTAATTTATATTATTTTATTTTGTTTTTGTTTTTAAATTATTGAAATCGCTTTAAAAGAAGAGCACAATCTGGAGAAGCGATTCTTCTTTATATGCTCTACAAATACGAAGCCTAAGAGTTTGCATTGAAAGGTGTTGTTGTTCTCCAGATGTTACAGTCCTTTTTCTCACGACACATGATAAAAAATATACACATTAAATTTTTTTACTTTCTTATCATTATTTTTTAATATTTATAAACAGATTTACGGCTATCTAACTGAATATTTAAATTACATGAATATTTGTTACACATATCAGTGTTATTAATTTAATTAATGTTCCTTTATTAACAATACTTGCACCACCTAAATTTTATAGCATGCTTTCCATGCTCTTGTTGGTGAAGTTGTTTTTGTATTAATATGCATTATATTTAAATTAAATTGGAACAAACAAGAATATACATCAATTTTCATGTATTTCAATCCATTCCTTTTCCGGGGCATTCTAAACAGCTTGCGGTGATTTCACTTTGAATGTTCTTTTACAATGATCTTTGTTTGAAAATGGATTTTTTTACAAACAACATTTAAATTGACTAAGTTTAGTTTATTAATTTGACCTCAAGCAGGACGAAATCACGCTTGTGATTTTGATTTAACTTCGACATAATTCCAGCACCAGTTTAAGACGTTTCAACTTAATAAAGTCCGACTCACTTTCAACTCACTCGTTGTTTTCGAATATTTTATATATTTGCAAAGCAATGTCTTTTTGTTTTCGCATATGCTTGCAATTTAAGAATTCAAGTTTCTCTCGGATGTTCCAACCATAGTAAATCAATTGTATTTTGTCAAAAATATTTGCATCCAATGTGAGCAACAACAGCACCATCGTCTTCACAGCTATGAATATCCGGTTGACCGAATATAACGAGTTGTTTTCATTCACCGAACTTCACAATTTAGAGGAATAATTGGCAAGCTTGAATCCTGTTCGTTATTTGACGAATGGTCATCCATCTGATTTACTTCCCGATTCGTGGTACTTGTATTTATAGATGTATTATTTAAATTACGATCTGCCAAATTTCCTATTAAAAAACAAAAACACAATTAAACAACGACACAAGTTTTACAATCGTTTAAACAAACGATAATAATAAAAAGGTGTTTCCTTAATTTAAATATAAAAGAGCGAATAGTTATACCATTTGGTTGTAGTTGCAAATTAGTGTAAGCATGCTTCTCTGCATCACATAACTTTGTGAAATCAGTTAGCACTACTTGACATTTTGCCAGATCGTTGTTGTCTTTTGTTGTGGAAAGTTTTGTGTTGCTTATTGATGCCGTAGGCTCAGCCATCACATAACCTTGTGAACTTCTTGCTAACTTTAATCGAATTGGCGCGGTAGACAGTTCTGATGAATTCGTGCTACTCGATGCTACCGTTGTTGATGCTGCTGTCGATGGCTCATCATCGGAATCGTTATTAATCGATGTTTCAGCTTTACGCTTTGCAAAACGGATAATTAACTTCGATGGATTCATGTCATTGCTTACAATTTCAACTTTGGGTTTCTTTTCCTTGTCCTTTTCTTTTTCTTTCTTCTTTTTATGTTTTCCTTTTTCACGTTTGGACTTGTCTTTTTTCTTTGGTTTTGCTGTATCATTGAATTGGCTAATGACTTGTTTACGGTAATTCATGCTCTCTCTACGTAACTCTTCAAAACTAGGTATTGTCATGTTCGATAAACGCTTTTTTGGGGGTCTTGCACTACCACCATTACCACCACCACCGCTGCTACTAATACCTGATGCTTCAAATACATCTGGACCAAGTTTTATTTTTAATTTGGGTGTAGTCATTACTGCTTGCTTAGTTCTTGTTTTCCTTTTACTGCTTTCGCCAGCATTGCTGGAAGATGTATTGCTTGCATTTGAACATACACTTCGTCGACGCTCGGGCATTTCTTCATATGATGGAACATCTAATTGTCGAAGTTCACGATTTGCTGGAACCTTTCGCTTTTTAATGTCAAGAGCTGTATAGTCTTTATAATCATCTTTTGTTGGTATCGAACTCATTGAGTCAACAGCTTTTGGAATACCTGCACTACGACCGCTGTTTGTGGCTGCCGATGTAGAATTTTGTGCCTGATCTTGTTGTTGTGTACAATTTGTGTCATCCATATTTTCTTGTGTCCAATATTGACGCAATAGTTCCTTTTTACGCATTCGTCGAATGGAATTATTCGGAGCACCTTGGATCGTTTGTTCTATAGTGGTATTAGGTTGGTAAGTTAGAACAGTTGATGTGTAATTTTCAGGCCTTGCATGGGGTCCTTTTATTTTAAGCTTTATCAATGAATGTTTTGGTGGCTCAGTTTCTTCCAACTGGTTATCTAGTGATAATGACATTACCGGATCAATCATGATGGGATCCACTACATGTGATGTAAAACGTGCCACATTTTCATTTGGTACAAAATTCAACTCAACAACGCCAGTTCTCGTTTCATCATTACGTCCAGCAATTGTAGATGTTTTTGTATTGCTTGCTTTTAAGGCGGATTGAAAATCTTTTTCTAACTCTTCGTCAATATCAGGTAAAGTTTGGTCAGCTAAACCGCTTGCAAAGGCACCTAACATATTACTACTATTGAACACATCGTTGTTACTAGCATCGAAACCAGAATTATACGTTCGCATATCAACTGGGCCAGGCATAACTGGTTCAATCGTAGGAATGGGTGGTGCTGCATGAACCATAGACGGAGTATTTTGCATTGATATCACAGAATTTACATCATGTGGCGATGGAGGTCTCAAATCGCGAACATCTGCTCGCCATGCTGGAATCGATTTTTCGCCAGCTAAAAAAGACAAAAGTACATGTATTGATTATACTTATTTGATGACAAAACTTTAAAAGAAAAAGAAAAACTACCATTTTTTTGATTATTTGAAGCAGTTGAAAATTTCGGCGATTCACTAGCATCCCGTGACCGAAACGAATCAGATTGATGCCGATAGTCAATGGAACGTCGTCTTTCGCGCATTGATTTTAAATTTTCGACGTTATCATTACATTTCAAATCTTCATCAAAGTCTAGGTCATACACCGTTCCCTGTAGTTTATTATGAATTGTTCCGGATCCAATATGATTATTTAGATCAAATAAAGTATTTGGTATTGCTAGAAAACAGAAAAAAGTGTTATTTTGCTTTCGATGTAAATTTTCAGAACCAATATTACACTTACCCATTGGTACCACAAGTGGAGCTCGACCACGTCCACGACCTCTAGTAGTAGATGATGAAATTCGTGCAGTACTACCACGACCAACAGTTGAATTTCGTGCACCACGCGAACGACCTCTCGATGATTCGGATTTTCGTCGAACAATTTCCATTTGCCTTGGACTTTTTCCTGGTGATTTACTCGGTGACTTGAGTGTAGTTTGAACCAGTTGTGTGTTAAAACGTGTAGGACGTTTTGATGACTGTTCACCAGAAATATTCCGGTCCATATTAGATGTTAAATCGTTTGGCATATTTTCTAAACTGTAATGAACGGAATCAGGCAAAATTTGCGATTGTGGTGTTCGACTTTGACCCAAGGATTGTTTCTGACATTGACGTGTTTCACTTGTTGATGTTTGAGGTGAGAGAACTGGTTGAACAGGTGGTACGCCTGTTAACATTTTAGAATATTTTTGTATGGAAATTATTAATATTTTGGATCGAGTAACTGTCTCTTTTATACTTACGATTTAATTCGAGTTTGTTGCTGATGATATTATTGTTGTTATTACCTAACGTATGTGGCTGTGGTGGCGGCGGTGATGCCAGTATTGATGATTGTGAAATTGATTTCAGATCATTACCTTTTGGCGGAACAACAGATGATGCATCTGATTGAACGGGCGATGGTGCAATCATAGAAGTTGTTATAGCTATATTGCGTGAAGATGACGTAAAAGCGGCACAAAGATTTGAAGGATAGTTCATTGAAGTATTTATTGCTGAATTTGGAGTTAGTGTTTCCATATTTTTTGATGTTGGTTGTGAAGTTGCCGCAGATGTGAATGCATTAACAAATGTTGGAGGAAACATGGCAGCTCCAGGTGATGGGAATGGTATTTGTGTATTAAGGCTACCACCAGATGATGGAAATAATGAAACGGGGCCATTTTCATTGGGAATGTTAAATTGATGTCCAGTTGGGTGCGGTTGCGATGAAAATGACAACATATCTTGAATGTTTTCATTGATAACAAGTTCGTTGGCACGGAATGCAATAGTATTTGGCATTCCTAGCTCATTTGAAGATTGAAGATTTGCATCATTCACTTTATGGGGTTGTGCTTTCAGTTCTTGTTCTTGTTTATTTTCCTCTTGCACATCATTATTCTCTGATTCAGAGCTGGGAGATGATGAAACTGATCGCCTTGTCTGAATCATTTCTTGTTCCGACCATTTATTTCTCATATAACCTTCATTTTCATCGATATCTCCCATCAGTTCACTTCGGTGTCGAATGGTAACTTCATCGTTCTTTACATTTAGCTGAGTTTTTCCATGCTGTTCATGTCGTAAACAATTTTAAGGAATTAAAAGTTTTTGAACTTAGGGAAATTTGAGAATACAACATTTATTATTGAAATACTTACATGTATTTGTAGAGAATGATTAAATGTCTCTTTGTTCCCATTGAGTGTACTACATCTTGTATATGGCTGCATATGAAACGTATTGATGCTTTGCGATTCATTCATTTCACTTTCCATAAGAATATCAGCAGGCGACGGAAGAACATTGAGCATTTTACTAGCAATTTGTTCAACTTCAGTTTGCAGCTGTAAAGGCGATGTTACTGTATTGGTACTTGCGCTTTTATTTTCATGTTGGTCCTTTTCTATTGGTTGTGTAGAGGTTTGTTGAATTATATTGCTATCAATCGTTGATGGTTTTGATGTTTCAATAGTCGATACATTTGATGATGGTAATTTTCTTTCATCGCTACTGTTCTCTTGGTCCAAATCAATAACTATTGTTGGTTGTGCCATTGATTTTGCTTTTATACCAATAGAACGATTAGGATCATTATTAGTAGTTGTGCAACTATCGTGTGGAATTTCTGGTTCGATCGATTGCACATGACTTATGCATTGTGGCTTTGCCTTGCAACATTCATCACCTTTGCCTCCCTTCTTTATATTTTGCCGTAAATTTGCGACTAAATCCATAGTTTCTTTGGCACTGTCTTCCTTGAACAAATTATCAGAATTGAATGAAAGTAAAGATACAGCTGAATCGTTTGGTATTGTAAAATTGTCAGCAAAGTCAAATATAGAGGCTTCACGCTTGTCGATTGTAAGACTGGTTGGAGGTGGAGAAAAGATCAACGAGGATTTTGGTGTTGGTGGCTTTGGCATGTTATTTACAAATTGCTCTTGTTCGTACTTGTTTGTAGCACTTGGTTGTAGCTGTTGCTCAACTTGATCACATTCGTTCGCTTGATCTGATTGAGTTAGTTTATCTAGTTTAACTAAGTTTTGATTTTGCGTCTCATTTTGAACTGGGCATTCATTTTTAGTTTCTTTCACTATTTCAATAATCTCATCTTGAACAATTGATACTTTTGGTTCAATGTCCATGTCAACAGTGCTCTTATTAACTTCTAAACTATGCGATAAACGCTTAATTTGGTTGTCCAATTTTTGTAGTGATTTCTGTTGTTGTTGTTCTTGTTCTTCTTTTTCTTGTTGTTCTTCGTCTGACTGCTGCTGCTGCTGCTGTTGTTGTTGTTGTTGTTGTTGTTGTTGTTGTTGTTGTTGTTGTTGTTCCTTTTCCTTCTGTTTACAGAACAACTTATCTAAGGCATCAGATAATTTTGATTTATTGCCAATGCTTGTACTTATTGATTGACACTCTGCCTTCCGCTCATTAATTTCTTGTTCCAGTGATTGCACAAGTGGTTTTGGTTCAATAGTTCTTAACCTCTCGTTCGTTTCCCATTTCGTAGGTGAAAGTTCACAGGACTTGCTACTCTTTTCGATGGTAGGACGGTTTTCACTTGACATACTCTTTGCACTTTCAACTGATTGACTTTTCGTGGATTTCGAATTGGTTTGGGGCGGGGATTGTGCTGGAGATGATGATGAAGTGATTGACTTTGGTTCATTTTTTGTTTTATTCCCAACGCTGACTTTATTTTCTTGCTGTAATCTCTCTTCAAGTAAACTTGATTTTCGTTTTCTTGTTGTAGATTTTGCAATTGTTGCCAAATCTGGTAATTTGGCTGGCTTTTCTGGGAGAGAGTTGGTTGTAATTCTACTCTGTTTTTCTTCAATAATACGTCTGAAACTTTTTTCATTCTTGGGAGCTGTTTTGGTTGGGGACAGAGTTGATTTGATGGAACTCTTAACCAAAGTTCCCGATTGGTTGTCAGAACATTCATGTCTATCGTTTGGTAAGCTTTAGAAAAAAAATTACATTTTTATTATGAATTATTTAAAATATCAAATAAAAAGAATATTAGCCATAGCCAATGCTATTGTAAATTAAGTGGGATTTTTTCAAAATTGAATTTGTGTCGTTCTTGAAATCAGATGATTCGTTTCTTGTCTCACGTAGATTCATTTCATTTCTTACCCTTTTCCAGTTCTCCCAAAGGCTTTACTCGTTGGTGATCTAATCGATTCCTCTCTTTTAGGTGATGCGGGAAGCACGGCACTGTTGGCTTTTTTATCGATAGTATCTTTTCGCTTGTTTGACATGTTGGTGCTTCTGAAATACCAAATATTTTGATTTTATCACTTATTTTTTTATGTAATTAGTATTTAAAATAAAATATTACTTTGGTTTGGCCGGTGTGACGACTGAATTCTTTCTAGGGGCACTATGACTCGTTTCATCATCGGAGCTCGATTCACTTGATTCGGAATCACTACTGGATGATTCGTCAGAAGAGGCTGTACTTGAGGATTTCGATCCCTTGTTAAGAAAGGGCGAACCTTTTTTATCGCCTTCTGAATCATCATCTGAATCGCTTGATGAGGACGAAGAACCAGTACTACCAGATGAAGAGCTTGAACTTGAGCTGGATGAAGACGAGCTCGATAGCTTTGGTGAAGAAAGAACTAAAAAAAAAAAAAATATCTTATGTATTTATGAAATATATTTACGTAATCAATACACTGCATACTATTGGATTTATTGGGTATAGATGGTGGTATTGATTTTGTACTTGGTGTGAGTGACAAGGGTTTATCTTCTGAAAGTGTAACTGTGCTTGTAGCATCTGACGTCACAACTTTTCCTAGCCCTTTAATATGTTCAGCGGCTTTTTTTGCGGCCTGTCGTTGTGGCACATATGCAACTATTATGTCTTTGTCTAATTTTTCAGCCTTTTTAGATTTTATGTCCTTTTCTTTTAAAGGTTCAGCTAATGGTGATGTCAACTCTATCAACGTCATGGATTTATTATTAGTTGCTTTCGATACTTTATTCTTCTGTTTCATTGCAATTTCTTTGCCCGAATCTTTGGATAAATCCTGGCGATCCTTATTTTTACTTAGTTCTTTCTGCAATTCCTTCTTATCTTCATCTTTCGTTTGCTCCTTCTTTGATCCAATGACTTGTGTACGCATCATATTTTCAGATGCTTTCTTGGCTGCCTGTCTTTGAGGTACAACAAGCAAATCAGTTGGGAATTCTTTCGATACATCTTTTCGTTTCTTTTTTTCTTTAGATAATTTATCAAACTTGTTATCTTGCAGTCTTTCAATGCGTTCTTTCTCGGCTGCTTCCTTTTGAATGCGATCGTGCTCAATTTTGGCCAATTTTTCTTTTTCGACTTTTTCATATTGAAGTCGTTCTTTTTCCAATTTCTCACGAGTTTTTTCTTTTAATAATTTGCCTGTTTTATCCTGTCGTTCTTTTTGTGCCCTTTCCTTACGACCCTTCGATTGACCTTGTTCAAGGCAGTCATGAAGTCGATCTTTTTCAATTTCTAGTCGTGCCTTTTCTTTCGTTTCATTCGTTGTCATACTGATGCTATCTTTAATATTTCGAGTTTTAGCGGTTGCAGAATTATGATGAGAATTGAACTCTTTAACAGCTGCTTTTGTTCGGAATGTATGATTTTGAGAATCACTTGCTGTATTATCAGTTTTATCTTTATCCGTGCTATCGCTGTCGGAATAAATCGACGCCGAAAGTTTTTTACTAAAATATGAATATAATGAAAACGATTTAAAATGTTGGCCATTAAGAGTTATTACTAAATGTTTACATATTGTAATCTTTTAATTTTTGATAATCTGTATATAGTTTGAAAAACAAGTTCTTTATCATACGTACGCGAAGTTACTATTCAAGGAACCAGAGGCGCCAATACTGCTACAAATTGGAACAAGTTCATCACTCTCAGAACCGGACAGTTTTTCTTTTGCAAGCTCTCTTTCCATTTGCCGCAACAAACGACTTTTTGGAGACCGTTTCTCTGAAGTCCTAGAGTTTGTATCGGTGTCAGCGCTCGAACCAAAATCTTTCGATCGTCTTCTTGAGCGAACCTTTTGCTCTTCATCATCTTCACTGGAACTCTCGAATGATTTTTGTTTTCGCATGGCTACAAAAAAAGTTTAAAAGAAAACTGTAAATTATTCTTAAACTGAAACATAAGTATGATTGGATTTACCGAGTGTGGTACTCGTTCGACGCTTCTTTTTCTCTGTTGAAACCCTTGTTTCAAAGGGCCGGACTGATAATACAGACTTCTTTTTATTTGGAGAAACATTCCTTCGCCTTGAGTGCGATTGAATGTTGTCTTCGCTTGATGACCGTAGCCCTTGTGCTGATTCACTGCTACTTGATAAGCTGCTATCGTATATTTTGGATGAAGGTTTATCTGTCGATGTACCGTTTATATACATACGATTGAAATGATTGTCTGCATACTGATTCTTTTGTGCGTTCTTTTTGACTTTGTTAATTCCATTAAGATCCGTTTTTTGCGATCGTTTTTGGTTGTTTTCATTTTGTGTTTTACCGCTAGCAGGCGTCGTTGTTGAAGTCGATTTTGTTGACAGAGCGCCGGTCAATGTTGAAATCATTTCCTCGAGATTTATTGATATATTTGCACCAATTGATTCACTAGAATAAAGTCTATCATACATTGAAGGACCATGATTGGCTTCAACAATTGCTGTTAGCAGTGAATTATCTATATTTTTCGTATTTAACTCATCTAATACAGAAGTTTGCCTATAAAATGTTTGTTCACGCATTTTAAAGAACGACCGACTGAGTTTCTCACGTCGGCTTACCATGTAGCACAAATTACGTACTCTCTCCAAATCTTGTCGTAAATGTACAAACATTTTCATTTTTTCATTGTCGGCCTGTTCTTGTTTGTGGGCAATCATATCAGCATCTTCTGACTTTGGTGGTAATAAAGGTCGATTGTTTGCTGCTTTCCGCTTTAATATCCAGTAATTATATACGTAGTTGATTGCTTCTTGGTCCACTTCAAGGATGGTGCAGTTAATATCTTTAATGCTAACATGTTTATCAAATTCGGCTTCTATTTCTTGAAGCCGTTTGGCACGTGCCATATTTCGTTCTTCTGTTGTCATATCCTTTCGCTTTTTGCGTTTGTTTGTATCATCATCTTCCGTGCCCGAGCCACCAGTATTTGAATGTGTTATGCATTTTTCCTTCTTTTTGCTATTGTTCTTATTCACGCTATGCTTTAAACAGTATGATTTTAATTTAACACCATCTTCAGCATTTTCATCTTCAATAATGGCACGCATTTCCAGCCCGTGTTGAAATGCACACGTTACATGATATGCGGTCTTGCATGGTTTTACGGAGCATTGGATGCATGCACCTACTCGTTCTCGACACAATACACAAATTAGAGCCCATCGTGATTGTGGAATGCTTGAGATTTTTGTAATTGGTTCCATTCGATCTACAGAGCCTATGCTCACTTCCGGTATCCATAATGCACATGAGACATGCGCCCATTTTTGACCTGAACGAGCCGATTTCATAGCGCCACCTTTGTTTGGACATAACACACAGTCAGGTCTTTGACCCATAGAACAAGTACGACACAACCATTGACCTGAAGTAATTGGTAATAATTGCAGTAAGACAATAAATTTCTACGACCAAATTTTATACTATAATATAACTACTCAATTGGTGATAATTAAATTATTGGAAATTGAATGAATGCTAATTAATTCTCTTCTACATCATCAAATATGATACAGGGTGGGCCTGAAGGGTTTTTACTTAACATTCTTACGACTGTACAATGACTTTTGATTCACCCGGTCTTGCACCGCTATGTTTGTTGATCCTTAGCCTAACTATTATGATAATGCGTATTTGAGACGCAATAACAATGGATGTGAAACGTCAACTCATCTTAAATTTGCACAAACGCGGTTTTCGAAACATTGATATTTTCCGAGAGCTACAAAACGAACAGGTTTGCATGACATTTATTGAACGTACTTTCAAACGATACAAGGAACGTGGAACTGTCGACATACAAAAGAAACCCGGGAGAAAAAGATCCGTTCGTACAAAAGCACTCATCAAACAAGTCAAAGCCATAGTTCTCCGAAATCGCCAAAGAAGTGCCAGAAAGCTGGCTCAAGAGCACAATATTAGCCGGTCTTCGATGCGACGTGTTTTAAAAGAAGACTTAAACACGACATCTTTCAAAAAAAGTCGTCGATATGGTCTTACGATCAAAAATATGCAAGCCAGAAAACAAAAATGCAAAGAACTGTTGCGCCGGCACGCCAATTCAAATATCGTTTTTTCGGATGAAAAGTTGTTCTTGCTACAGCCAAGTCTCAATGCACAAAATGATCGTGTGTACGCAGTGTCTGCAATAGACATTCCTGAATACGAAAAGACCGTTGAACGTTTTCAGAATGTTCCAAAAGTGATGGTTTGGGGCGCATTTTCGGCTGATCGAAAATTTCCTCTGGTTTTCATAAAAAAAGACGTAAAAATCAACGTTGGATTTTATAAACAAGAAATATTGTGTAAAACCTTATTGCCACAAGCTAAGAGATTGTTTCGAAACGAACCATGGGTGTTTCAGCAGGATGGCGCACCTGCACACCGAGCTAAAAAAGTGCAACAGTGGTTACGAACAAATTTGGCCGATTTCATTGACAAAGATTCACATTCATCGTCTCCCGACTTAAACCCATTGGATTTTTTTGCTTGGGGCTACATGACATCGAAGCTCAATGGTCTAAAGATTACGAAGGTTACCAATTTGAACAAATTCAAAAAGAAAATCGTAAAGATTTGGAACGATATTCCCATGAATGAAATTCGTGCCGCGTGCGACTCGTTTTCAACACGTCTGAAGCTGGTAATCAAACAAAACGGCGAATGAATCAAATCCAAAGGCTAAATCTAAAATTTTAAGTTAAATCCTACTAGAAAAAAAAATATATATTTCATTTTATTCAAAAATATGTTTTTTAGAGCCAAAAATACACCCTTCAGTTATTCTGGCCCATCCTGTAAATCAAACATGTTTAACAAAATATGAAATATATTGATATCAATGACGAAAACCACAGAAAAAATCGGATGAATAACACATAAAGCACTATGATGTTTGTGACAAAAAGCATTGATAATAATGATAATAATTTGTTTCTTGTAATAAAAGTTAATGAATGATAACATATCATAAAAACATGTCCATATTCAATTTTGCTATTCATGTTGATCAAATGAAAAAAATCTTACCTGATGGTATAGTTGTAATACCATAGCAAGCCTGATGTACACAAATGTTACAACTATCACAGAACACCATTTCATTTGCTTCTTCTGAATCTGGCGAGCGACATACATCGCATATCACATTTTCATCGTATTCAATGCCCAATCCTTCTTCAGTTTTGATGATAGCCTGGATTTTATCCCAGCACACAATCTGTTTTGAAAATTTAAATCACACTCTGCAACTATTTTTCTGAAAAATTTAAAAAAATAAAATGTATCTCACCTCTAGTTCCTCAATAACGCGTTCAAATTGCTCTTCTGTCACAGCTGAATGTCCAGCCATGGTGCGTTCTCCATTCAATATATTTAACCATGCTTCATCAACTGGGTCGAGATCGTATGAGCATGATGCTTTTGCCATTGCGGGTGTATTGGATAAATAATGTAAATCCGATGAAAAGTTTTCATCTTTCGTTATGCGTATGAATTTGTTTTTGGGTCTAAATAGACAGAACGAGAAAAAGTAAGCATGTTTAGATAATTTCGTTATTTATGTTTATCGTAGACATTACCCCGCGTTATCCACGGAGCAGCTACACTGTAATTTTGATGGGATTAAAATATAATCCTTTCGGATTTATTTGATAAAAAATCCAAATGGATTAAAATGAAATAAGAAGGTGCTAGAAAGATTTTTTGTATTCATTTTAAATGCAAAATACAATAGTTTTGTAAAACAGTTAAATTGTATTAATTGTTTGAATATTAAATGAATAATCATTCTGGTGGAACACTGTTTCATATTGTATTGACATTTACATGAAACTTCAAACGCCTGTCATTGTCTTTCGATTACAAACATAACCTTTCACGGTCTTATGTTTGTTGTGTAAAACCGTTGCGTGCACCGTTGTCGAAAAAACTATTTTTGTTTCTGTTGGAATTTTGATTGGTTTGTTTATTAAAAGCTGATTTTCAATAAAATCCTTTTTTCCATCGCTTCTGTGCTATTTATAAGATTTCTGATAAAATGTTTCATAGCTAGTGGAAACAAAGTGAAGAAAGGGTGATTAGCGGATTGTTCTCAATAAAAGTTGGGATCGGTTTGCATTGATATCAGCACATATTGAGAAAACATGTGAAAATATTCTTGCTTTGTTGATGAATGATTTTCAATAAAGTTTTTGATTCGTTTGCCTCGAAGAATTGTGAAATTATATTTATGCAAGAGTGAAATGAACGCATTGTTAGTTTGTTTATTGTGAACCCGGTCGATCACATGAATCGGTGATTGTATATTTTGATGAATTTTTAGAGGCCCGTTTTTAGAATACCGGTAACCTATAAATTCATCAAAAATAATATATTGCTGAATCAACAGATTTTAGACTATAAATATAAGAGAGCTGTTCAGTATACTATCACTCGATCACGATGGCTGGAAAGAAACGGAAGCTTGCAGCATCGGCTTCTAAGCCAAAGCCAGTAAAGAGGAAACAAATTTGTGAAAATCAAACGATAAAGAAAAGTGCAAAAAAAGGCTTAAAACACAATCGACCAATGAAAACAGATGAATTTCGTGATTTGATCAGTGATTATGTGCTTGAAATGACGCGATGTTTCATTTTGGGTGCACTCAGTGTTCATTACTTGATTTTCAAATGTTTTCAAGTGCGTTGTGATGGCAATCGATACGGTGAAATCGAAGATTACTTCAGTAAATTTGTGGATAAGAACTTTTTCGATGATATTTTTCGAGGGACGCAAAATTTTGATAGCGTCGATGAAGATGCCGTAATGAACTGTGGATACAAGGTGTCCAGAATGATTTATCGTTTGTGTCGTAAATATTTCGTGAGCGCTCCAAAAATTGAGAAAATATCAAATATATTCAACTACGCATCACAAATGTACTGCACAAATTTCAAGAATAACGTTTGCTATCACGCATATTCTCGTTCTTGGAAGTGTTTTGAGCACCAAAATGCGACCAAGCAACAGATCTACGATACCATGCAATATCTATTCAAAAAGAAATCAGAGCGCGTAGCAGATCCGTATCTAATTGAAATACTAAAAAATGAATTGCATCCAATTCGTTTCGGAGATGGTCGAGCATATTTTTTTACGATGACGACGGCAGGCAATTGGTTCAAATGCGTACCAATATTTCTACATTTGCAACGGTAAGCCGTTAATATTTTTACATTATTTCAAATCAATCGGTTGCACACAATCATTTTTGTTTCATTCGTTAAACAATGCAATTTCTATTGATTTCCTCGTCAATCATACAATAGGTACATTCGTGATCACCAACGAAATAGAGAGGCGAAAGAACAGAGCTCCGTGATTACAGAAATTTCACAGTTTTTCCAGTTTCAACGTTTAAAAGACATCACATTCGCATCGATAAAAAAGCTCTTTATTTCATGCTGAGAGAGATCGGATGCCCACACCCACGGTTCATTAGACGTGATGGAACACCAAAGCAATGTGAGGAATTAAAAGCCGCTGGTTGGGACGTGCTTTAGCGAACGTATTTTGACATTGATGCCATCGAAAGAACACCGCAAAATGACAATTGTGCCACTATAAAATTCCGAAATTCGATTCAAACGGATGGAGTGGCTATGTCATTCTGGATGGAACGCACAAAATTCGTCGTTGTCAAAGTCGAAAATGAAATCATGCGGGAGACTCAAGAAAAGTTATTGAAAGCGCAACAAGTGTATGGTCTCGATCCAGGTCTTCGGCTGGTGATTGGCGGTGTTTGTGTGACCAATTACAATGATCCGAACAAGGAAAATCGCCGCGAAAAACTCGTTCGATTGACATCGGGTCAATATAATCACATGATCGGCTATCGCAAGCTAAATAAATTGCGCCAAAAGTTGACTTTCAACATCGACGAAAAAATGCGTATTCACCGAGAATCTTTTGATGAGCAACCAGGTCAACATTCAGACAACATTGATAGATATTTTACGGCATTTCAATGAGAAGTTTGAAGCATACACGCAGTACGAATATGCACTTGAAGATTTTCTACAGTACATCGATACGAATAAGACACTCGACAAGTTGGCAGACTGGTTGATCGATGGCAAAGAAACATTCGTATTTGTGGGTGAAAATTTCATTGCTGCCGACTCAGAAGCAAAAGGTTATTTATTTATTTATGATTGAAGTTATAACACCATTATATTGAGTTTGCCAAATACTATTTGTGATTTTATTTAAAAAATAGGTTATATTCGGTCGAAAGTACGCGATTTATTTGAGAAAATGAAGCGACGGCGCTACTGTACAGTGGTCAAAGTGGATGAATTTCGAACAACAAAGGTGTGCTCATTGTGTTTCAAAGACTTGGAATTTCCGAAGAAAGGTGATCGTGTGAAGATGAAGTATCGATACTTTACTTGCCGTGGATGTGAACCATTGCCAGAAGGAAATAAACCACATGGTCCCATCGACTCACGAAAGAGTAATCATCTTTTGATGAAACAACGAAAACATCGACCTCGTCCTGGACCACGTATGGCATCAAAATTCCGACGCTACGAAGAAAAACGGACAATTGGTCGTACTATCACATGGAATCGTGATACAAACGCCGGTCGCAATATACTCTACAAAGGTTTGTGCATTTGATTGAATCGATTTCTAAATATGAACAATAAGTAATGAATTTGTTATTTGTTAAACAATTCAAACATAGGACGGTATGCTGTAATGAATGAAGAACTACACCCCGTATTTCAAAGACCTACAGCACCCATTCAGGTAAAAAAAAAAAATTTATCAAATTGTAATGAAAATTTCATTATGGAATATGCACACTAACTATGTTTAACTAGAAGTTCACATTATTATAATCAATACTTTCAGAATCAACAACCTATACAAGGAACATCGCGTTCTATCCAAGATCAAGCACAAAACTCTCGGCCGTAAGCCCTGGGTATTGTGCGGGATGTCATCATAGGACAAGTATAGTTGTCAGGAATTGAATGGCGCTGTATCTATCCTATAAACATCGAACTAATGAAAATGTGTGGTGGTTCATGTCTTATTTAATATACAATAGTGGAAATTTATCCAATGCACAAACCATTTCTTCTAGTTCCTCACCATTTCTTCTAGTTCCTCTTACATTAGTGTAGGGGGATTCTTCTAAAGTTCAGAGAATGACGTTTGCATATAAATACATATAAAAGACACTTTTAGGCTCGTCCTATGGATGTCATCGTGGTCTTATTATAGCTACTTTTAGTAAGTATTCAAATTTAATCCTATAGTGCTAACATTTAATCCTTTTGGATTATTTTGATGAAAAATCCCAAATGATTAATATTTAATCCCTTCTATTTTACAGAGTAATAGGAAGAACCGATAGGAAGGCGATAATAGCGGCTCTCCATGATTGAATAACCAGGACTTTTTTGATGCGTCTGCAGTATGCATATTATATGAACGATAGAAGTGAATATTATAACATTTACTACGTTCCTTCTTATATTATACGCGTACGACAACAGTCTAGCATAAAACATTGTAATACATTGTTTTTTTAGCATACAACAACGAAGACCAGAGGTGCGCACGCATTTTTGGGGGGGG